TTACTGTTGTGGAGTGCATCGGGCGTGCACAAACAATCCCCTAAAGTCTGACAGGAAAATTGGATGACTTGGCGAGAAAACCATTGTAGAAGAATTCTTTCTTTGTCCTTGCAAAAAGCAACTGTTCCATCTGACGAAGTCAGCAGTAAATCAGATTGCGAAAACCGTACAGTGGATTGAAACCTGTTGACACCGAAGTTCTGAAGAAGGTTCAGATGCAGCATAATCCATAATGGAAATTGGAAAAACCAAACGACATGCCGGTACTTGGCTTAGCCGGTCGCCATTGACGAAAACGAAAATTGGTGCAGGTACACGGAGGTGATCAATCTCCGCTTCCCCCATTGTGGAATAGCTTCGTTGGCACAGGTATCCACAATGGGCCTGTGCCCCCTGCAAACCTAATGTTGAAACAGGAAAAAACGAGAACAACCAAAAGAAGTTTTACATCTATGCAGATGGTCCACACACACATACATACATACATACATACGTACGTACGTACGTACGTACGTACATACAGAATTACATACACACACAAAAATACATACAAACACACATACATACATTCATACACCTGTACATACACCTGTACATACACACACACATACACACATACATACCATACCAGGCCATTCCATGCCAAACCATATCATACCATACCATGCATGCTAACAAACCATGCATACCATACATACTATACATACCATGCATACCATGCATACCAAAATACATACATACATACATACATACATACATTACTTACATTACTTACTTACTTACTTACTTACTTACTTACATTCTTACATTATTTTACATTACATTACATTACATGACATGACATTACATTACATACATCCATGCATGCATGCATACATGCATACATACATACATTGCATTCATCCATACATCCATACATCCATACATCCACGCATCCATACATATATACATATATACATATATACATACATACATACATTACATTACATTACATTACATTACATTACATTACATTACATTACATTACATACATACATACACACATACATACATCCAGCCATCCATACATCCATCCATGCATGCATACATGCATACATGCATATATACACATACCTTGACAAGCGTTGGCCTGCTTGGCAGCTACTTTTTTCCCACAAATCTGCTGCAGCCGTTTCATGTTTGCCTCAGGAGGAGACTGGCAATTCAAATAGGCATGTTCAATACCAAAATCTTTGATGTCATGTGCGTTGCAAGCTCATCGGCTTGTGTGGAACGGGGTATGGATCGTGTGTGGTCCCGGGACCTTTTCCGGACCTCATAATTTGGGCCACACCAGACACAGAGACACAGAGACACAGAGACACAGAGACACAGAGAGACAGACAGACAGACAGACAGACAGACAGACAGGCCAGCCAGCCAGCCAGCCAGCTAGCCAGCCAGGCAGACAGACAGACAGACATTACATTGCATGCATTGTATTACACTACAATACATTACATTCCATTCCGTTACATTACATTGTACTGCATTGCATTGCATTGCACTTCATTACATTACATTACATTGCATTACATTACTTTACTTTACTTCACATTACATGCATTACATTACATTGCATTACGTTGCTTTCCGTTACATTACACTACATTAGCTTACTTTACATCACATTACAGACATTACACTCCACTGCGTTGCATCACACTACATTACGGTAGAGTACATTACATTATACTACAGAGAGGCGTTCTGTTGAGTTACATCACATCGCATCATCACGTCACATCACAACACATTACATTGACCTTGACCTTACATTTGCATTAACATTGCATGTGCAAATACATTTACATGTAAATTGCAAAATATTTACATGACATTCACATTTGCATCCCATTTACATTCCATTTACATTAAATTTGCATTACATTCCTTGCGTTACATTACATTACATTACGTTGCCTTGCATTGTGTTGCATTGCATTGCATTCCAATGCATTACACTACATTCATTACACCTCTATACATACACATGTGTACAAGTATTATATCTGTATATATGTTTATTTATGTGCGCATATATGATGTGTATATGTGTCTCCAGAGAGGGAGAGTGTATATATATATGATTTATTGTTTTTATTGTTTATTTATTCATTTATTTTTTTATTAATTCATTTTTTATTTATTCATTGATTTATTTATTGTATATCAAAGATATACATATATATATATTATATGTGTATATATGTTTTTATTTATTTACCAGGTAGTGCCCGGCCCGCGCCGGGGTGGAAGTTTCGAAAATAGGATATGACTATAGGAAATCAATGGCCTAAGCGATGAAGCGTTGAAGCTGTGATGAGAAAATGGTTGTGGAGATGCCTATGATATGACATGAGAGAATCCTCGCACAACTGAGTGAATGAACCAATGAACCAACGAATCAGTCAGTCAATGAATCAATGAAGCAACAAAGCAATGACTCAATGAATCAAGCAACCAGTGAGCCAACGAGCCGATGAGTCAATGAATCAATGGGTGAGTGAGTGAACGAATCAATGAATCAACGAATCAGTGAGCCAATGAATGAATAAGTCAAAAAAAACAATGAATTGATGATTCAGTGAAACAATAAATCAATGAATCAATGCATGAATGATTTAGCGGGTTGATGAGTCTATGAATCAATGAATCAGTGAATGAAGGAATGAATGACGTAGTGAGTAGATGAATAAATTAATCAGCAATGACTCCGTGAATCGGTGGGGCAATGAACCGGTGAATCAATGACTCAGTGAATCGGCGATTCAGTGAATCAACGAATCAATGAACCAATGCACGAGTGAACCAATGAGTCAATGAATCAATGACTCAGTGAATGAGCGAGTCGGTGAACCAAGAACCAGCGAACCAATGAACCAATGAATCACTGATGCAGTGAACCAATGAACCAATTAGCCAATGAGTCAGTGAATCCATGAATCCATGAACAATGAATCAATGAACGAAGGAATGGATGAATGAATGGATGGATGGGCGAGCTCCTTTGCTTTGTTGAGCTATTTCTTCACCGAGCGACCTCTTTGCTGAGGCACTTCTTCTCTCAGCTACATCTTCTCTGGGCAGCCACTTCTCTCGGCTACTTGTGCTCTGAGCTGCCTCCCAGCTAGCTGTTTTGTAGCTCTGCATCCCAAGTGTTCTTACAATGGGTTTAGCAGCCTGCAGCTGCATTCCCGCACAGCACAAGAGTTGAATATGGTCAAGAGCAACCGCTCGCGTTCGCGCTGCTGTTACAATGCGTTTGGCAACCTCCAGCGACAATCCTGCTTGTCAGGAGGGTCGCAATGTCACTGATGCTCTCCTGCGCACAGCCGTGCCAATGCGCTTTGTCACAACCCAGTGCAAACCCATAGCAGGAGCGCCGCACCAAATCAAGGTTCGCGCAGAGCTGACAATCGGGACGATTCCGCGCAACTCCTAGAATGACGTGCTTTTACGATTCTTATATTAAATCGAGCTCTCGCCGCAGTCCTGTGCACTTTTTGTCGGTGACTGTCCCAGATCGAGGCGCGGAACCGCGGAAACAGAGACCGCGATTACGGCAGCCACTTTACCCTAAAAACCACAGGGTTTAGCGCCCGAGAATGTTTTCACCCATGAATTCACGCGTTCCCGAACTGTTACACTTCCCAAAACTACTTGATGATGGGTGGTTGACATGATGATGTGGGTGACATGATGATGGAAATGCTGACCATGACAATCGTCCGTAACTCGGAAGCTTTCTAACTAAACGTCCTTTGATACTTACAGTACTATCATTGCATGACATATCAAATACACTGGATACCCCCTATGTGACACATGAGTTTACATCTGTAAAGTGTATATCATGGAGAAAACCATATTTGCAAAAAGTATACTCCAATACTACAAGTAAAGTACAATACAATATCGTAAGTTATACTGTAGTACAGGGGAAATATTAAACAAATACCCTAGACATATCTATAATATGTATAAATGCGAGATTTGAATTTAGATCACATATACATAATACACAGTTAAATTCTATAGAACTATTGTTTCAACTATTCAATGTGCATACATATACTTAGATCTTGTACACATAGTACAAACAATACTGTAAACATGTACGCATTTTTTAACAGACATATTTAATCATAATAAATATGTGCATATATATATATATACATTATATATATATACATTATATATATATTATATATATATACATTATATATATATACATTATATATATACATTATATATATACATTATATATATACATTATATATATATACATTATATATATATATACATTACATATATATATATACATTATATATATATTCTATCTATACACCTATTTTCCAAAAATAGGTGCATGCACACGCACAATTGGAACTTTGCACTTTGGTGCCTTAAGCCAAAGACTCCCAAAATCAATCTTCTTTCAAGACGACATCTGCAAGGACCCAAAGCTGCATGTTGCTGCTTGGGAATGCCGCAACGCCATTTAGAATTTATAATTGCTATTCTTTCTGTGAAATGTGTCCAAATTCAACTTTGACGAACATTTGCACTGCTTGTCGCGCTAGAGATTCCACCAACCATTCTGCTGTGCTGCTATTCATCCTGACATGCATTGGGGCAAATGACATTCAGGTTGCTGAAAAATAACGGGAGCAAATGAAGCAAACCTCCAAACCTTATTGGAGCCTTATCAGAAACCTTCTCAGCAACCCTCGAATAACGCCACCCCAACGTACCACCCGTGGCTGAAACCCTGGGGGGACAGTCAAGCCATCCCACAACTTATGGGCCTGAAGACCCAAACTCTGTGTGGTTCAGGGACCACATCCCTCTTTATTTTTTATAATGTGGAAACCAAGCTTGGTGCATTAAAATGATTTGAAACGTATAATTCCATATAATCCAGAACCTGCTAGGCCCGGCTAGGCCCTGCTAGGCACCTCCGGAGTGGAATGGTGTTGGAAGCGAGCTGGGTGACCTGATGTCACAGTGTCAAGAAACCCAAGAGTCCCAAGAGGCCCTTTTGTCGTGGCAAAAAGCAAACAATTCACTCATGGCATAGATGGTAAAGGCATATAAAAGCTAGATTCAGGGATGTTTTCGCTGTAAAGTAAAAATTGGGCGGGGCATAGTCACCTTGGGGTGGTACAAATCAACGACGCAGCGCTTTGTTCGACCTCAATCCTGATGCAATTTTTGAAAAAATGTTTCCATCCAAGTGGTTGCTATATAACTTTCAAGTCTCTGAAGCAGATGGTTGGCTGGCGTTTTTGCAAATTACTCCACGTCGAGCGATCCCGTCACTGGGAAAAAACTGGACAAACGTGTTGACATTAAGAGTGACATATCAAAAGACATGCGCCTGACAGAAATACTGGCACATATATTGAGAGATTTCTTGACGTAGACGGATATGCTTTCTGAGGCATATAGTGATACTGATAGATGGTGACACGGTTTCTGACATCCTACCACTTTGATTGAAGAAACTGTCGAATGTTCATACAAAGCAAACATATAATGCTGCAACCTGGGCCGGACCAACTATGCCCAAAGATAGCCAAAAATGACAAAAATAATCGGTCGACCCTTTTTGACCTGCTTCTTCCCTCAGTAATGTATTTCTTGGATTTTTCGACACAGGGGATGTCAAGTCGCAGACAAGTATAGGTTCCAACAAAAAATGTCCAACCAAATGGCCGAAAACAACTGTTCCGACCAAAATCCGCCCGCACCGAAGGTGCTGGGGCGCGATCTTCCGGATGGCACTCGTAAAAGGTTACAGGTTTACCTGGGGTTTTTCGGCAAAAACCTCCTGTTTTTGATAGGTCGTGACGCTCGCCTTCAAAAAACACTGTAAAAAACAGTACGGAAGACACCTGTTCGTGAACGCGCCCGTCCAAAATCGGCAAGCGAAAAGTGAAAAAAACCCGTGTTTTTCAACTTTTTGACCTCAATTTTTTGGTTTGCAACATCTTTTTTTGCGGTTCCGCAGGTGGCCGGGCCCGGAGGCGGATTTTTGAGTTTTTGGACCCGTTTTCGGACTGATTTTCGTCGTTTTGTGATAGCAGAAACACTGGTTTTTACAGTGTTTTTCTGTTTTCTGGATGCTTGACGGCTAGCTTCAAAACTTCCAAAAACCTTGTAAATTACGCTGTTTTATGTTACGGTGTGAATGAAAACATCGTAAATACCAGTGTTTTTTGACGTTGGTTAAAAAAACACACAAAAACACTGTAAATAACAGCACTTTCGCCGTTTTTTCATGTTTTTCGTTATTTTTTGAACTGCGTTGGTCCGCTATACATGGCTATCAAATTCTTCGCGTTTTTTTTCCGACAATCAGTACTTTCGGATGTTTTTGGTCTCAATGGCCGACATCATTGGCAGTTACGAGCGGCTGCCCAACGATGCGGTGCGGGCGGTTGCCGTCGCGAAGCGACGTGAATAAGCTGACCCATTGCAGCATGTTGTATGTACATGTACACGTGTGTGTGCGTGTACAAATTACTACGTGTATATGTATATATATATATATCATACATACACATAATACACATTTATATATATATATATGTGTGTGTGTACATACATATAATATATATACACTTTGCGGGGTCGGTTTGTTTTTGAGAGTGTAACGCTGTGGGCCCCGATTTTCAGAGTGTTTTGCAATGTTTGTTGATAATTTGTGTTTATTTGTACTCATAGCCATTTGTTCTTGTTTTTGTTCCTATGTTTTTTATGTTACTTTGTTTCTGTTGCTGTGTTATTTGTTGTATATTTAATTTGGTGCTGTGGACTTTAAATCGAATAGCATCGTAGGGGTGGAGATAGGACCCATGCCCTTGGTTCTACAATGTTTTTTCTTGCAAAACAGATTTTAAATACACCCATGGCAAGTAGCAGATTCAAGATCTGTATTTTTGTATGAATTTATACACATGTGAACACACAGTTGTGTTACAATACCCAAGACTGATTAATGAGATAAGCTACGTAAATTTCTTAGACACATGCTCTTTTGACATCACTACATAAGTTTGTTCATGCAACTGTGTTTCTATTGTTTTTTTTGGTGGGTCCTACAAGCAAAAACTAAAGTCTGAGGACAGTTTTGCAACATCATGGCGAGATGCAGGCAATTGCAGTTGCAAAGGTTATAGCGGAGGTTAAAACCTTACAGGACTACTCAAGTTTTATCCCAATTTGTTCTAGTGTGAACCAGCATGTTGGGCATGAATCACAGCAGCCACACAAATCCGTCGGCCTGCTGGCGTGTCTGATTGGAAGGTGTTGTTCTTGCTTCTGTTCTTGGCTTGTACTTGTTTCTTTGTTCTCTTGCTGCGCGTTTTTGCTTCGTCTGAATCAAGGCAAACCCCCCTAGTCCTAGTACTAGTACTGTACTGGTCCTAGTACTAGCACTAGTACTACCTACTACTGCTGCTATTACTACTACTGCTGCTGCTGCTACTGCTACTGCACTGCTGCTGCTGCTGCTACTGCTACTGCTACTGCTACTGCCACAAGTAATGGTCAAAGCTCATGGGCGATGACATTGTCTGGATGTGGCGCCAATTACATCATTCCTCGCATCTGCCTGATCCAATTCAGAACTTTGCGGCCTGGACGTATTTGATGCAGTACCATCCAGGATACTGGAAACGCCTAGTCCGTCGAGCAGGAGATCATGCAGCTGCACAACGAGACAACCAGTACATGGTCGAAGTCTTCCATCGCAATGTGCTTGAGACTTTACATCATCATGGCAGCCTTCTCATGCAATGGGCCCCCTACAGACATCCAAGCCTATGAAGCAGGGATCTTCGGATGCATGGCATGTGAGAAGAGGTTTGCCACCAAGGGTGGATGCGGTGCGCATATGTTTCGAGTTCACGGACAAGTGCATCCGGTCCGACATCTCTTCGACACTACACAATGTGGATGCTGTCTGAAAGAATTTCACACCTTTGGACGGCTGAAAGCCCATTTGATTCGAGCGGACTTTTGCCGTCACAGTCTGCAACGACGTGGACACTTCGTCCATCCTTCGGCCGGTATAGACTCCGCTACCAACCAGATGCAGGAGCACCATCATGATGGCGTTCTTCCCCCGCTTCAAGCCCAATGGACCACAGTTGCCTGCAGGTCATCGAGCGGTTCGTCCTGATTACGATCTAGAGCTCTTCGAGGAGATCTATGAGGCTCTCTTGCAAGCAGAGACGGAAGATGAGGGCCTTCAGCAAATCCGGCACATCATCAGCAACAAAGCCGTTACCTGGGAAGTTGTCCTCACCACGCTTCAGGCTTTGATAGACGAAGCGACTCCAGGTGACACAGCAGTTCTTACCATTGGAGCGCCGGCGTATTTTGCCATTTTGCGCCAGCTCATGTGTGCGGAGCGCTGGCCTTTCTTGCGAAGTGCAGAACATGTGCACAGGGCACTGGCATCGCAATTTGGAGACTTTGGAGGAATACTGCCTAATTGGAAGCGGCGAGCGATCGACCCTCAGAGCTTGCTCAGACTCCTCTTCGCGGGTTTGGCAGGATCCGATACATCCTACACACCTTTTCAGGATGCAGAAGGTTCGGTGACTTCCAGCACTTCTTCGACAAGGTAGCCGGAGATCATCCAGGAGTTCAACTTTGCGTGATTTCCTTGGATGTGGTCATCGACAGCACCTGGGGAGACATCACTTGCCACTTGCCCAAACACTCGAGCCTTTTGGATCGATGCTATCCGCAAGCGATTCGTAGTGGCGCTCCTCGGCGGCCCCCCATGTGAAACCTGGTCAAAGGCAAGAGAGCACGGCATAGAAGAGAAGCGCGTTGCACCACGCGTTCTTCGTCTTCCGGCACTTCCATGGGGCCTGCATTCTCTGAGCTTGCGTGAGTTGCGGCAACTGAGCGCAGGCAATGACCTCATGGGTTTCATGCTGGAAGGCATCGCGGATCTCTTTTGTACTGGAGGGGTAGCAGCCATGGAGCACCCGGCTCCACCAGAATCTCAGGAGTCAGTCACCATTTGGTGCACTCCGATTTTGCAACTCTTGCTGCGACTGCCAGGATGCCAACTGATTCAGTTGTCACCCACAAGGTTTATGGGCTGCGAAATCTCCGAAGCCCACTTCTCTCCTTGTTCTCAACACACCAGGCATGTCAGCAGCTTTGAGAAAATGGCAAATTGCCAAGGACTTGCCGAAGGGCTCGTCCATAGGCTCAGACCTAGCTGGAGGCTGGTCTACCACAGTGCGAAGGAATACCCTCTGGCATTGAATGAGGATTGGCCGAGGGTTTTTCCATTGCCATCGGGCACTGCAGGGCTGACCCTGAACTACATGTGCCGCAATCTTTCTCAGACAGGTCTGTGGCTATATGATTTGCACAGCATATGGCGACCACATCAGTCCTGATTAATTATGCAGGTTGGACCTGCCAAGCACGAATTCACAATGCAGGCCGCAGCGACGTGACTCAGTGTGCCCGTGCAAAATATATATTATATATATATACATCTATATATATATATATGTGTGTTTTTTAATTTATTTATTTACACGTATATATATATATATACCGTATTCATTTAGAAAGGTCACCTAGCCCACTGCTAGCACCAAAGGTTTCCACCATCCAGCCTTAATGACCGTCCAGCTTGATGACCGTCTAAAGGATTCTAAAGGTATGTAATTACAGATACAGCTGCCAAAACATGAAAAGCAACCGCACCCACACCTGACAGCTTTTCAGCCATAGTGGTAAGAACCTTCCCCTAATCCTTCATGGATTCTTGGCTCTCAGTCTCTATGCACAACAACTGCTAGCAGTGAGAGCCTGTCTCCGAGCAACAAAAGCTCTGCCGGCACTGCGTTGGCGCACTTGGTGTGCTTTGAGATCCAGGCGGTACTCGATCTCCTGGTTGAAACTGTCGCGATGATGAAGCCCTGGCAAATTTGACACAGCCCAACTTTGCACACCCTGAGACTTCAGATCCAAGATGTCAAAATTATCTTACAAACAGCTTGAAGATTTGACAAAGGAATGGGATCTTGCACTAGAGAGTGCCTCACCAGAATTCTGAGCCCAGAACTGTGCGCTGTGGCTGGACTCATCAGGAGTGATGAATTTCCTTCACCATGGAAATCAAGTTGCTTCGTGCAACCGTGCACAACAAGACAATGAAATATCAAAACGAAACTCAATCAAGTCTGGTGTCTATTATTTGTCTATTCATTCCGTTCCCCTCAAAAAAATGCCGCTGGCACTTTGAGCAGAAGCATCAACCTGAAGGACCCAAAAGAATTCAACTGGATTGAAATGGAGTAACTGAGGAGCATGGATTCACACGAAATCAGGAGAAAAACAAAAAGAATACACGAAAACATGCAGCTCGAAGATCTTCCTAAGATCTCCCAATCCTGGCCTCTGAATCACTTGCATTTCCTGCACAGGGGAAAGCTATGAAAGGCCAAATTACTACATAAATTAGTACCGTCTGAATGTCATCGCTAAAGTTGGGAAGAGTTTGTCAGGCGCACACGATACTGGTCTACTGATTGTAACTCTTCAGGAGCAGGTTGCCTTTTGGAACAATCCCAACAAGTGAGCAAATATGAAAAAATAAACATCTCTTAGTATCTTTTAGCACCTCAACGCATTCATGGGCTGACCCTAGTGACAAAAGAAAGGGCAGCTGAACCCACAAGCAACCAATGGACAACTCATGAACAGCTCGGGCATTGGCGCGGGAAACTGGGATTGCAGTGGAGTACTGCCCAACACAAAGCTACTCTGAGTTGAGCTATAGAAATCAGAATATCAGAGGATACAGGAGAAAAAAGATGTTCTTGTTTGTTATGTGCTATTATGTGATATGTTGAGCACATTTTATTTACCTCTAGTGAGGATCTGAGGCTGCAGAACCCAGCCAGCAAGATTGTCTATCATACGTCTACAAAGCGTGTCTCCACGGAGTTCTTTCACAAGCGGTGGCTTTACGATGATTCATGGAGTGCCAGAACAAGGAGCAAGCTCACGCTTACAAACTTGAGGCCCAGGGGTAATAAGGGACCAAAGCTAACTTGGCAGGGAGCTTGGCATGAAAACACAAAGGGCACGGCGCAAATGCGCAGCTTTTTCGTCAACGTGGACGACGGGTCTGAAGCTGGGGCGTGTTGGTAAGGCGAACATCCAGACCTACCTATTGAGGCGATGTATGTTGGAAGGGACGAGAGTGAGAACATATGATTATGTACTGTACTTTTGCATGAAGAGGATGAGGAAATTCAGCATATCCAACATGATGACCAGTGATTGGGGAAGATTCAAGGGTCCACCTTCGGCATCGGAGTGGACCTTTGGGACTGGACTTTTGGAAGCGCAGGAATAAGTCACGCAGTGGAAAACTAAAGCTGAGGACGGGGGGGAAGGGGAAGGGGGGCGGAATTAATTGAGAAGTTTCACACGATTGGAGATTCCAGCCTTCCCAATACCTGGCTAAAGCAAGACGGACTTCAGCTAGCACAAGCTAGCTGCTAGCTTTCGTCACAAGCCATCAAGAAAGCGGAAAGGATTTGGAATGCATGGCTTGCCTGCTGCAGCACTCCAGAGATGCCAACCTACAAAAATGCGCTGCATCGATGTGGGCTCGCTTTCATATTCAACACATCAGAGCCAAGCGCAAATCCTTTCTGAACCTTTCAGCTCCTCTCTTGCTGGCCCTTGAACAGGCTTCAACCGGCGATGTAGCGCAGTGTCCAAGGCCACAGCTGGTGGGTCAAAAGTGCGCAGCAGTTGTTGAGCTTGTCCAAGCTCTGCCTTGGAACTCAAATCCAAAACGTAGGCACAGAAAAGTAATTTCATCATCTCGCTAATGTTTGTGCACTGAGATGATGCAGCACAGGAAAGAGAGCAAGGTGTTGGTACCATGCAGGTAGATGGAGTGGAAAACATACAAGAACCCCTCGAACTTGAACTTTGAACATTCTATGTGTAGATTCCCACCACACCCATCAGCTCAAGAAGTCTGGTTATAAATGTGTATGACTGATGGGGGTAATCAAAAACCTGCATGCCAACATGTATATATAGCAAAGTGAGCTGATGTGCTATTGCACACACTGCGTGCATACTCCCAGAATCTCATCCAAGAGAATTGCGTTGGACTGTGGGCTAGAGATGTTCCGAGTCGCTCAAACCTTCAGTGTCTTGGACCGTACTAAGATCATCCTCTTGACTAGGGGAGTGGCAACTGCTCTGTCCCTAGTCAGTTGCAGACCTTAACAAGCCCGCCAAGCCCATCCAATTGTGCCAGGGTCAATTTTACCAAATGTGAAATAAAAGTTTTCAGAGAAGGGTTTTCCGCTTTGCTACCCTTGCATGTTGGCATAGCGCCTCCGCTTCAAATACTTTGAAGGGCAAGCACACTCACCAACTAGGTGGACATCAGAAAGCCAAACTAAAAAATCGACAATATATTCCAGTGCAAGCTGGAAGTCAGGTCGATGTAAAAATGCCTATTGGACACCTATCAACCCCTAGATTGATGACCCGTGGTGCCATTTCACGGTGCCATGGTTGGTCCCTGCATCTCGCGACTCAAAGGAGCCGAAGGTCTGACGAAGCCATGGGAAAGTTAGAGCTCGACTTGGCATAACTGTCCATCATTAAAATGTGACAACATGTGACAATGAAGGCAACGGATCAAGCTGGCGAAGATGACGGAAGCTCAAAGAAGGCATGAGAATGGCTTAGCCGTCGGATCTGTGACAGCCTTAATGATGTAATCATCATACGCTCGTTGTGCACAAGGTGCTGGAATGCATTGTGTTTGGCGATTTACCATCACTGCAGGACTCAGCTGACTTGGTTGAGGAAGCCGCTGCCAGTCTTCAACACTATCAACATGGATTGTCCTAGAGTGTCATGAAGAGCGTGGGATGGGTGCTTTGCCAAACAATGCTTTTAGAGTTGAGGAGCAATGCTTTTAGAGATCGCCAAAGTGGAGACTGGTGACATCCCGAGGAATCCTGATGTCAAGAGGTTTTTTCCGTTCTCGAAAGATAAACATGCAGTGGTATGAAGCAATAGAGGGAGGCAGGTATGGTGGGGCCTTCCTAAGAACGTTGCATTTCAATGGAGTCCTTGGCTTGCACCTCTACATGTCGAAAAAACTTTGACTGCTGCAGACAATGCCAGCGAAAGCCGGAGGTCACAAGGGGGAAAGGAAACATTGCCAGAAACTCGTTCAATATGCAAGCAGCATAGAAGGTTCTCAAGTACGCAACAGACTATATAAATGACTCAGTCAAACGATTGAGTCAATGCAGTCTGCAAACCCGCTAATTCCATGAAACCCAATATATAATCCAATATATAATCCAATTATATCCAATTGATGTATTTGATGTGATGCAAATCGGTGCATTCTTGGCTCTCTAAACCTTGGGTTTCGCAAGCTTGGCCTAAGGTTCTCGAAGCTCGTCCAAGTTCCGTCAAAGTTCACTTTATTAAAGTTTGTCGAAACATGTCGAGACCAGTGTCAGGGCAGAACGCTTCGTTGGCCAAGTGTTGAACTGTTGCGGTTGGACCGTCTTGATGCTGCTTTTGAACTTATGCTAGATCCGCTAGGTATCAAGGGATACGAAGCGCACTTGGCATAGCCATCATGCTGACTCAGCTTTCAGCATGCGAAACTCTCCAAGGCTCACGCAGCCAGGAAATGGTTCGTGCGGTCTACTTCTGCGACGGCCATCCCTGGCCCAGGGGGATCGGATCCGGGAATCCGAGGGAATCCGAGGGAATCCGGGATGTTCACTAGTCACGCTCTGAGGTCAGGGCGCAACTGTGCAATTTCAGCATCTTGCTCTCTTATCCTTTCATGGGCTGCATGTAGCGCCTCGAAAACCATTCGAATATCCTGGAATGTCATGGAATGTCTCTTTCGTTTCTCATGCAGGCCTTACGCTGTCTCTCAATGGGATTCACTTGATACAAGTAGGTTGAGTTGAGGCCAGAACAGCTAGGGCTGTCTCAAGATTCCTAAGCAATCAGCTGCAATGCTTCTAGCATGCATGGGTCATGAGTTTGTGACAAGGAAAGCTGAGAAATGCTCTATTGCAGTGTTCGGAATGTGCTTAATGTGCTTTAGGACAGGGTAGAGAGGTCAAACTGTCAAACTATACATATACACAGTTACGCACATCACACATATAAAAGTGTCCAAGAGTTTTCGAATGTCTAGGACTGCTGTCAAAAAGACCAACCATATGTATTCCAAGTATAAGGATAGCATTGAGCTTCCAGCTCTGCAAGGAGCAATGAAAACAAATGCAGGGTCGATTTTTTATTGATGCAGAGGAGAAGCAAAAGACAGATTTGTAGTCCATGTGGGAACAAAGTCTTGTGTCTAGCTTCGATGGGTTTTACCTCCTCAGTTTGGTTGGGCTTGGGCATAGACAACTTCCCTCTCTCTCTCTCTCTCATTCTAGGATGTATAGTGTTGGTATTGCTTTGGAATTGCAAAACCTGTGTGGACAGACGCTGTATTAATCAATATACGCAGTATGCCTGCTGCAGCTTGTCGATGTAGGTGCAGCAGCATTGGTGCTATTTGTGTGCATAGACACCTGCAGGGTGCTGTTGTTGTTCCCACCCACCCGCCCGCCCCAAAGGCGGTCAATGACTGTGATCCCCGGGTGTGGGCCGGGCACCTGTGCCTGTTTCTCCAGATGTGTGAGCTAGGCGCTGATCCCTGTTGTGATGTAGTTGGAATATGGAGTAGGTCCGGCTAGTGAGATCCCAGATCAAACCTAGCGAGTAGGTGCAGAACTTCATTCCGAGTGCCCTCAAACGGAATTGGCAGTAGTCCCTTCAACCAGAAAAAAAAAGAACCTGTGAGCGTCAGCAGCAAGTTCAATTGGGTCCATATCATTCCATATCTGACATTTCCAAACATGATCGTAAAAAGACACCCAAGATACGCAGAAATGGAATGGATCAAATGCCCTTGAACATCTGCCGTTTGTCGCTTCTAGCAGGGGATACTCGGCTGATTCAATCCTTGTGTCAGCAAACGGCTACAGCAGTTGCACGGTGCACTTGCGATGATGGCAGGGGGAAAGACAAGAACCCCTGATATTCACCCAGGGTTCGGAAAGCCCTTTTAGCTATGTACATATTAGTTGTGTGTGTGTGTGTATATGTGTGCGTGTATGTGTGTGTATGTATACTATATATATATACATATACACGTAATATGTCATTCTGTGTGCATACATGTATATGTGTGTATATGTACAAAACAGTGTACATGTGTATGCATATATATATGCATGTATGTATATATAAATACATGTGTATATATATACATATACACATGTCTGTGTATATATATGTATACACACATGTATGTGTACATATTATATATATATACACATATGTTGATCATATAGATGATTTATATGATGTGTGAAATGTGCAATTTATCTCAACACTTCACCCTGTACTCCATTCAATCATATGTGTGCTTTACCAACCCTGTGCCAGACGTTGTTCCTACAAGCTGCAGAAGCGATAAGTTCTTGGAAACTAGCACAAAGCTGATTCCACGTTGCAACGAGTCTGAGAGCTGCAATGCTGGCTTCAGCGCATTGATCGAAGTCTAAAAATTGCCGCAATCAAGAAAACACGACTGGATGACCAAGTAGTATTCTCCCATCCAGGGTGTTCGCAAATGTGTGTGTGTGCTTGCATGCAGTTCAACATCTTCTTTGAACCATTGATTCTCGAACAATCGCTTCACTGCAAACACAACATCACAAAACTATGTTCCACGCAACGGAACTCGCGTCTCACGGTCCTTCACAGTGCCATTCTCTCAATTTCTTTGCACAAACAAGTGAAAGATTGCCTTGTACGGTCGGTCTGGCTACCCTCCTGCACACCAGGGATAGTTGCTGCCTCAAGGCTGTATGTGTAGTACCTAAGCAAAACCAGAAGCAAAACAGGAAACCTGACTCATGACTCACATGACTCACATGACTCACATGACTTGCAGACTTTCTTGGTTCTACGTAGCAATATTGTGCCTCTCAAGTTCCGCGTATCACATGCCTTGAGTGTGTAAGCCGTTGCCTTTTAAGAAAGGTACCTATTTTGCATCGACGTTCCGCTTCACTACTATAGCCCTTCTCTGAGCCAATTTCTGGACAAATTCAACACACCGTGGTCCAGGAATGATGTGACAGAGCATGACAACGCAACCTAAGAGTGGAGAAAATCCTGCACTAAGATGTCAAGTTTCAAAGCATGCTGGCACATTCCACTGATCAGGACTGCTACACCAACAGCATGCTGCCTCCAACTTGTCCCATAGTCCTGAAACATGTCAGTACTCGCACGTCACACGTTGTCACAGATTGCTACACATTGTGACACATGGTCCATCACGAAGTCCATCACATGGTCCATCATGAGGTCCCAAACTTCCACTGGTCTTCCACAAGCAACAGGATCTGTTTACCCCGTTTTTGTCACGACATGTCTCTACATCAGTGCTTGGAGCAATCGCAAGGATTGCCCCTGGCACACGACAAGCATAAAGAGAGATTGTATTCAATTTGGCTATATTACTTCGTGTTTCATGGGTTTTCCTTTGCACAGAAATTGTGCATGGGCCCATAGGTCATCTTGACTATGTGACCGTTTGTTCACATTAACAATGCAATCAGCCACCGAGCTGGAGCTGCAGGATGCTGCAGGATGCTGCAGGCTCATTTTGTTCCTCAGACAGTGTGTCCACACTAAGGGGTTCTTACGGTGGGAGTTCAAGCCGGTGCTTGATCGGGGTGCTCCATCGCTCCACCTGGGTTCAGTTTTTTCCTGTAAATTGTCGGATAAACTTGTTCTTGTGACATGTCCAAGTGAAATGCGTTTCGATCGCGCAGGCTTGCACAAACTCTGCCGCGCGCGTTTTCCTTGATCTTGGCCTGCGGCATTTTACCTGAGCATTCTTGCAAAAAACGGCTCTTCTGACATGCCCATGTGCATTTCGATTGCGCAGGCTCGCTCAAAACGGTTGTCCAAGTCTCGGGGCGCGGCATTTTACTTGAGAACTCTTGCTCTTGTGACATCTCTCCATGTGCATTTCGACTGCGCAGGCTCGCACAAAACGGTTGTCCCGGTCCTGGGGCGCGGCATTTTTCCTGTCAATTCTCGCATAAAATGGCCCTTCTATGCTCTTCTGACATGTCCAAGTGCATTTCGACTGCGCAGGCTCGCAAAACGGTTGTCCCGGTCCTGGGGCGCGACCTTTTCCCTATCAACTCGCGCATAAGATTGCTCTTCTGACATGTCCATATGTCCATGTGCCTTTTGATTGCGCAGGCTCGCACCAAACCGTTGTCCCTGGGGATCCTGGTGAAGTCCTACCTAAGAGGTCCTTGCATGATCTTGCGCAGCTCCTTGGAGATCGGGCAAAATCCTCTCTTGTCCTTCGGAGTAGTTTTTGTGGAGATCCTGTTCAAAGCCTCCCTAAGAGGCCTTGCATTAAGATCTTGAAGATGCTCTGCATGGTCCTGTACAGGGCCTTAAGAGAAGATCTTGTGGAGATCCTGGTGAGATCCTCTCTAAGAGGTCATTGCATGAAGATCTTGCAGCTGCCATGTCTCACGCTTTTATGAAAGCTCTTGTGGAGGCTCTTGGGAGGTTTTTGTCTCAAGATCTTGTAAGCTCCGCTCCAGCAGCAGCAGGTCCCTTTATGACGATCTTGTGAGCTTTGTTCTTCTGGGATGCTCATAGGAAGTTCTTGCATGAAGATCTTGTGAGCTCCTCTATATAGATCTACATAGAAGGTCCTGCTGCTGCAGTTGCGATGATGTCTAACCTCATCTGTTGCTGCTCCATAGCTACTGTTGCTTGTATGTGGTACATTGACTTCCTACCCCCTACACTCCCTACACTGTTTACAGTAGGGTCTCTTGCAGGTTTAATTTGTTTGAAATTTTACCAATGGCCCAGGCATGCCATGCTTCATGTCTTCTCCCGGGCCTGCACCACCATTCCACGTTGCCTCAGCTGGAAGGGTTTGTCACGTCGAGCATATGTGTTTGACCATTGCACGGACTACTTGGACCTGCATATGTTCCAAACTTTGGGGCACTGGCTTTTCCTATGACTGGCCCATACTTTCCCCATTGCTTTGCATCAACTGCGATCACAAAAAATCACAAGATAGTAAATTTATTTACACGTTATTGTAGTAAGTTATAAATATATATATGTATATATATATACATGTGTGTGTACGTATATCTTATCGGTTGTTTAGTGTTGTAACATCTTGCAATCATTGCCCGAGGCAACAGCTGGTTGTGATCGTATTTGACGGATGTGCTGCTCCAGGATCTGGACCCAGGCGGTGCAAAGGCATTCGTAAAAAAGCTCGGACAACGAAGGCGAAGCAAGGTGCACGCAAGAGTCACGACATGTCACGACTAAAGGCACCGTTCGCGTCACTTTTGCATCAGTGCCATAGCATCACTCCGCTGCTCCATTGATAGCTTTGGCGTCGCTTCAAAAATCGAAGGTTTCAGATGTCTTGAGACACTCCCGAATCCCGCTGCCCCAATCCTCGACATGCTGAGACTTTCTCTGCAATTCCAAGGCCAGGGAATTGCAACGGTCTTGCTGCTCCGTTATAGAAGCCTGTGAGGCTGATTGGAGAACAGTCGAGTGAAACTCACCTTCAATGGGGTAGAATTCATTGGATCTGGACAAATGTGCCTTCACTGACAAAAAGAAAGTTCGCCTCCAGCTCTTCCATTCGCAAACGGAGTCGTTGGATCTGATAGCAGGCGCTGGTCAAACAAAAATGGGGGCGCTGAAAGGCACGGTTCAGCGATACAACAGTTCCCCAGGTTCTATTAACTCAGACTCTGAAAAAACACGAAGGCCTCTCTCAGGACTTGTTGATTTACCTGAGGTTGTCAAGGCGAGCTTGGCACCAAAGTGTCCACTTTCTGTTGCAATCTCGGGAAAGCGCGGCTTCTTCAAGATGGCCTGTCTCTGAAAGTGCATGCTACCATGAGGCCGTCAGACCCGTTTCAATCTTTGTGCAGCAGCTGACATTCCCGCGCCTTGTCCTTGACTGCCCTGCGCATAAGGTGACATGCTGCCTCGGGACCTTGCCAAGTTCAAGGTGAAACTCTAATGACTCTAATAGGCACCACGGGCAACCTGCACTGCTCTATATTTCTGCGAACGGCCACGTCTTCTCCTTTCCTAGGCATTGCTTACTTCTTCTGAAGACTTCTGGCCGGCTTTGCAGCTCAAATAAATGGGATAAATCACTCTACCAGTTCTGGCACCGCAGGCGTTGTTGGCCTTCGGTTTCCTTCCTTACTGCGATGTTGCTTTTCCCCGCATCATTGTGTGGAGTTCTTGTTCTTCCGCTCTGTGCCCGGTCGCCGCCTCCTTCGCCTCCGCATCCGCCGTCTTGTCACACACCACTCTTCCACACACAACTCTTTCACACATAACTTTGTCACACACAACACTGTGAAGACACAACTCTATCACACACAATTTTGTCACACATCACTTTGTCGCACACAAGTTTTTTACACACAACTCTTCCATACACAACTTTGTCACACAGAACTTTGTCAGACACAAATCTTCCACACACACACAACACACAACTTTTCCACACACAACTCTTTCATATACAACATTGTCACACACAACATTGTCACACCCAACTTTGTCGCACACAAATTTGTCACACACACACACAACTCTCTCACACACAACATTGTCAGACACCACTCTTCCACACACAACATTGTCTCACACAACTCTTCCACACACAACTCTTTCACACAAAACTCACACACAACCATTCCATACACAAGTCTTTCACACAAAACATGCAATGCACACTCACACAATCACATGATGTTCTTTGCCGCTCTGTCTTCCACCATCTCCATTGTCTTTCCTGCCTGTCCCATCCCATTTTCAAACCTGTTTCGTGCTTATTGGAAGAACCTGACATGTGGGGTTATCAGGCCCTTTAATTCTTCATCTCATTGAAAAGGGATGCTTCAAATGCCCCGGCCTGGTGCTTCCCCAGTTCGACAGCTGAAGCTGCAATTCCTCCAAAGCTACGGCTGGACTTGAGGTCTGAGTAGAAAGCAGGAAAGGGCAAAGGCACTTGCTCGTGCAGCTGCATTTATCCTCATCCTCGGCCCATCATGGTCATCATCATCCTCATCCTCATTGTTATCATGGTGGTCCTCACCATTGCCACCATGCACCATCTACTTTGCTGTGAGATTAACTCATGATTTTCTTCATCGCAATCGTTGTGGTGTCATCATGATCATCGTCATCCTTGTTGTCAGTTGGACCTTCCGTGACAATAGCCATCTGCTTGCAAACATCTAGAGTATATAGATGGATGAAAAGGTCAGACTGGGCGCAACGGTGGTTTTTGGTGCTACGTTCCAACTGTCCTCGATCTGGCGTTCGCGCATCTGAAGCAAGCTGGCCTTGCAGCAAACAGCAGTTTCGAGCAACCCTAAATAACGGGTTCCAGACGCTGAGGTGTTTGCCAAAAACTCCAGTTCCTCGAGCAGAAGCAAGTTGCAAGCCCGTGTCTTCCATCCGGGTGGTTTCAAGAGTCCTTGTGCTTTGCTGCCATCATCAACGCACACTCTTCATCCTGGACGCTCTGAAGCAATTGTGTGTGTATATAGTTTGTGTCTGTGTGTTTCAACTCCTTCTTTAGCCTAGAGATTGTGCAAGCAAAGTGTATTCTGCCCACAAAATGCACATGTTCACATCACAGTGATGGTACACAACAAATGTGTTGGGAAATCAGGCGGTCTGACGGGGCTGTTAATAAATCTACAGTAGCTTTCACTCATTGCATTTCTCGCTCTCAAAAAATATATGTGTATAATATCTTACTTCCTGCATTGATCCGGACTGGATCACGCACGCAATGAAAGTCTTCACTTTAAATCATCCGCTGGACTTAGTCTCCCAATCAATCATTCAACAAATCATTGAACCAACCAACAAGCGAACGCTTAGGCACGGGCCATTGTGAAGCTGAGCAAACAAGAACAACTTCTCAGTGAGAATGTGCCAGCCGATCTCTGAAGTGTATTTCACTGTGAGCTTTCAGGTGGATGGTTTGATAAATCAACCCGAGGCGAACCAATCCTTCCCTGTCTCAGTTGATAGATGAGTTCTGTCCTTTGTCTGCAAGGCAGCCATCACAGCTTCTTGTTCTGGAGTCTGCCCCTCGCAGGAATTGATTCAAGCAATTTGAAGGTGTACACAGCACAATTTCTGCCCCGAAATCTCAAGCCAGCAAAACTCTTCTGTCCGGAGACTTACTCAACATCCACCTTCGTTCAGCCCATGCTCCCCTTATGAAGTCTACGTTTATGTGGCACATTGTTGTTCTGTAGACAGGTTTGAAACAAAATGCAAATCTCTGGGAATTTCAGTGACATCTAGGGCCATGATTTGAATCGACATTCAAATAGGTCCGAAGCGGTGAGTCAAAGCTATCAGGGGAAAGGATCCTGGAAATCCCAACCTGCGCAGCCAACATTCGCACCTGCGCCCAGATGACGAAGCAAGAAGGCAAGTTGTGTTCACATGAAGCGGTGCCCTTTGCCAACAAAAAGTTGACCAGGGCTCGTCAACTGGGCACCAACCCATCTCATCGAACATTGTCAAACAGGTTCGGGGAAAGCGCAATCTTTAACCAAACCCAAAGAAACACAAAGAGAATGCAGGAAATACTGCATTCTGCCTGGTGACCTTCAGGCAGGATTGACATGTGAAATCACCATGAGACTGCGTCGTCTCGCAGATCACAGGAGTCTTTGACGTATAAACCAACAGCGTTGGAATATATTCGCAGCTATGCATCCATGGCCAGTGGATGCTTCCATCTCTGATGCATAGCTTCGTTCGACAGAGTAGCATCAGAGAGCTCTGTCCCCCTGCATTTGTTGAATTAGTGAAATAATATCCGTATGAAATAACGCGTTTCACACACACACACAACATGGGAACAGTGCTATCTCTTCGTCTGGCAGCTACAGTAAATGGATATGGCCAGTGCAAAGTGTAAAGCACGATAGAAGTGCGCGGGTGAGCCAAAGTAAGCCAAGCTGACAGGTCATGACCGTATGCGAACCAACAGCTCGACTCCTATAAAAACAACTTCCCTGAGTCCTCCCCACATGTTATGTTTCTTCTCCGCATCAATTACCACATGTCCTTTTCTAAATCGGCACATTGCTAAACTATCTTGATGTCAAGGGACTAGGGAAGTCTAGCATGTTGAAAATGATCATTGCGGCTGGCAAATACGCTAGACAGAGACATGCTGAAATGCATTGACATGCACATAGGTCACATGCTCCTTTCCCTCTGCTTGTGACCCCATCCAAGCATACCCAGTATCTTGGCCTTCATGTGAGCAATTTCTGCATCCTTTTGCTCCAACAAGAGAGCATGCTGATGTTGTTGGATGCTCAGCCTGCAAATGCAATGAGATGCTGTACATTGAGATACAACATATCTCAAAAACTAACTTGGCCTTACTGGCATTTGTCTCAAAATCGGGTACCCCAAATGGTGCTACTTACTCATCATCATCTGCCATTTATGTGCCCCGTCCAATATGGCACCTCGTTTGAAAGGCAATTCTCGCTGCTTATGTAGAAGGCACAAGAGATTGGAAGAAAAGGGGCATGCCGCAAACCGAATTTTCAGACGCACCCACTTAGGCGCTGCATGCTGTATGAATCTGTATGAGGAAGCACAAAGCCGAAGCCCAGGTTCTCAACGGAATGTCAGCAGACAAGCTGTTTCCAGTTGAGTCGCTGAGGGCCGAGCAGCTGCTCATAGCCACCTGACCGGACTTCACATGTAGGATTGACTGATGTCAGCTTGAACTCTGCAACATGACGCAGATGTAGCTGCCTCCATTTTCCAAAGCCTTGGGATCGAATTTGAAACTGTTAAGAGACCACAGACGCTGAAAGCCTCCAATGTCATATGGGTCGGGGACTCTGGAAATAGGGGTTGGGAGAAGGAGAGATCGTAAGATATTTGCATGCTTTGAATATCTTTGAATTCAGGAGTGGCTGATAGTGGCTGCATGTTTCATCTGAATTCAAAGTGTTTCCCTCTTGTGTGCAGGACTGAAGGATCCGCTGGAGGCCTGGCAAACTGTCAAGAGCCAGAGCATGCCAGAGCATGCAGCACTTTTGAAAAACACTGATCCATTCGATTCCATTTCCCATGTTTAAAGATGTTCAAAGTAGCAAGCAAAACGAATCGCGGCTCTGAATGCTCAGCTTTCCCTCCATTTGGACCTGCCACTCATGCAGTGAAGCCAGGCAAAGGACGCTCTACTTTCAAACTATATACATCTGAAGTAAACACAATTGGATTTTTTTTTACGTGAAGTCGACCTCTTCAGTCGTCTCGTGGATTTGTCAGACATGTCGTTGTTGTGAATCAATGGGTCCAATGCGAATCTTGGAACCTGCGTTTGTGGAACTCAATTTTCTGGCGTGTCGGGCAAGCAATATATCTTGGAATGTTTGTAGCTTGGAAGTGCACTACAAAAACAGAAAGGGCCGCAGCGGAACCTGTATATATATATATATTATTATATATAGTATATTACATACATAGAGCTTGTATGTACAGATACATATGTATGTAGACACTGGCGCCTAGTCCCGGCATGCCACATAAGTCGGGCCAATGTGGAGCACCAGCTGGGCTCGCGATTGGTCTGTGATTTCTAGAGCTGGTGCAACTCTTTCCATGCTTTCATTCTGATTCACCCACAACATGTGGAACCCAACGCAGCTGTCATCTAATACTTGCAATATGAAATCACCGAAGGGAAACCAAGGCCCTAAAATAATCAAACGTGTTTAGCGTTCTGGGATACAATATTGTAGCCAACCAGTAGAAGCAACAAAGTTGCGACGAAGCTTCTTCTCCTATTTTCGAAGTGCTACAGTATTTCTGCTGACAGATTTAGAGATGGCTTGAAGCTCAATGCTTGGTGTGAGGCATGGCAAAGTCGTCCCTGAACTGGTCAACTCGCTCACTGGTCACTAATATGAAAGACAAATATACAGAAATGCAGGCCAATCTCAGCGAACAGGGAAGATCAGTTCTGCGGATACTTGTCTGCCCTGAAATAGGACTGCCCATAAAAAGGTCGGTCAAATGATTTCATATGTGAGATATTGTTAGATTTCAAATGATTTCAATTTCCTTTTTTCTTCTTTCCAATCTGTGTTGAAGTCTCCGGAGCCATCTTTGGGCTTCAGGGATTGAGGCGCAGCAGTGTGGGCCTTGGATTGAGAAAGAATATGAAATAATATGAGTATAAATATGAGTGTTGTTTCGGGCTGTTTTGTGAAGAAGTGTTGGAAAGTGTTTCCAGAACAAAATCCTTCTAAAGATGAAATTGTCTTCTTAGCGTTGTGCTTCAATCTGGCAGTACAGGATGACAGGACGGGTTTGAGCTCAGACTCCGACCATCCTGTCAAGCGTCTTGCTTCTGCTCGCTGAAGCTCACAATGAGAATCCCTCTCCAACACACTCGATGCAAAACACCATGTCTGCTCTTTCAGTCTGATTAAGTTGTCATTGGGATTGTGTATAAGTTGTGTGTGTGTGTGCGTGTCCGCATATATACTATTTAGTTTTCCAAATAGGCGTTCTTGCAGCGAGTCCTGCTTGCAACGTTCTTTGCGTTCCCATGACCATCCATGAAATGCAAACAATTTGTTTCCGCAAATTGCCCAGAGCTCGTGCTCTGCCTCAAGCGCAAGTTCTCACCGAACGTCATCATTCGCTTGAGTCCTCTTGAGAAGCCTCAGGTTTTGACAAGCTTCCAAACATGCAACGAGTACCTGGACTATGGGCAGAGCGTCATCTTTTTGAAGGGTGCAAGAAAGGTACTCAAAATGTTTGCGCCCACACAATAAAGGGTTCAGGGTTCAGCCCAGATTGGTGCACCCGCAAATTGTATCCTCAGATGTCCTCATACATCGGTGCTTTGCGCGAACTTTTTCGACCCATCTAAGTACGCTGCCAGTGTTTCTGGATTCTTTGCGCCGCAGATTGGCGTCTTTTCTGCCAACGCCGGATTTGGAACTGCAGAAGGAGCACCTAAATGAAATTCAAATCAAAATGTTCAACTGCTTTCCACAGCCAATCAAGGCTTGATGACATTCACAATACACAGTCTTCACGCAAGACTTTGCATATCCAATCGTAGCTCCTAAACCGCATTCAACGCTTTTCGCTGCCCAAGTGAAGTCAAGTTGCTGCTTTCAGCTGCACACGGGCTTTGCGTTGCCGCCGTCTCCACGCTGTCTGCACCTCCGCAGAGGAGGTTCGTAAGCTGCAAACTTCTTCAATCTTAGCTTCCAGCTCATTTCAATCTCAGCTTCTCCGCTTCTCGGAACATTTCTCAGAACCTAACAGTACCTAACAAAAGACATTGGGTACAAACATGTACGTACGACGTAGCGACGTAGTCTTTCACCTTCGACGCGTGATATTTCAAGGACAGAGCAGTGGCTCTTCTTTCTGCCTCGCGCACAAACATTGTGTGAATGTTGGCATTCCAAGGTGTCAAAACCTCACAAAACTTCCATAGTCACTATATAGTCACTAGTCCGTGGCCCAACCGAAGTTTCTGATATCGCAAACATTCAAACGGTAGTATAGTGCAGAGGTTCTTTCGCAAGCAGCAATGATCATCCACCGTTTGCTCTTGATACGCTACCTCATCAGCGTCCATCACGTTGAGCATGTTTCTGCGATTTCGGCCTGAACACAATTCTTTTAGCAGAATCTTTTAAGAAAGACTGCCTTCAACACTTCAACAGATTTCCAGCCTTCCCGGCGCTCAACTTCAAGCTCCTTGGCGTGATCAGCCTGACATCATGTACCAAATACATACACTGTAGATGACATGTAGCCACGAATTTGAACATGATATGTACATTAGCCCTACATTCCTCTCTCAAATAGATTATTGACTTGTCATAGGGCTGATGGGCTTGGCGATGTTACCAACAGAAATATGGGACAACTTGGATCTAGAGGTTATGGAGCGCTCTGAGTGGATCCGAGTTGAAGGGGCGCTGGGTAGGTCCCACTCAACGGTGCTGAGCAACCGGGGCAGCTGCTGGCCAGCTGTATCACAATTCCACCGAGTTGTCGGCGTTTAGCCAAGATTTGTTCGTTGCCAAGATATCGGTTTCTGGTTGTGAGATGTTCCTACAGTTGTGGCCTGCTCCCGAAGATGCTGCTTTAACAGCTCAATTTCAGCCTCCCTGGCAGCAGCCTCCAGACGCAAAGATGTGTTTCGATCGACTCCACACAGCAAGAAAGTTGGTCGCCTGCGACTCAGCCCATGTGACCTGAGGTCAACTGGTGAGTGTCTTGATGAACAGAGAAATTAACTGTGATTGACTACATGGCAATAACAGCAATAACTGGGTCGGATGAAGGTCGGATGAAGGTCGGATGAAGGTCGGATGAAGAGGTTGCTATTGCTTTGGCCGACACTTGGCGCAACTTTTCTGCAGCACTGGCCTTCAAGGCCTCCAACACAGAAATAGTTTGGTTTTTTCTGCTGCACAATGGGGGTGAATTAAACGATTCGACACTGCAAGCCCTTCGCCCAGCGCTGGATGACAACAAATTAGTAGAGAGTAAAATAGAAAGAGTCACAGGTAAGGGCATCAATGAATTATTTCCAAGACCTGCAGCACCGCAAAAGAACATATTGTATGATAAAAGTAAAAATTCAGAATGCAAAGCTTGAACCATCTACCACAAAGGATGGAAAGCTTCCCAAACCTCGGCTTTCATGGCTGTCTCTTCTCCCTTCCGCATAGCCTGTCACCACTTTGCCGAGCTTATCTTTACAGAATGCATCTACACAAGCACTCAGCAGTGAGCGCCTTTCTGCGTGCCTGAGCATAAAAGGAGAAAACTCAGAGTCAAAGCAGACCTCTGCCAATTCGAGTCTCTGCAAGTTGCTGCAAGCTTCAGATCGGGACTTCTGCCACGGCTTCAGAGACCTGTTTGAAGGCATCCACAGCCTTCAAGGCAGACAATGGCAAACAGTACGTTTTCACTTTAAAAAGTTGTGTCGAGGAGCCCAACAATTTAAGAAGACCTTGTGATGATCGTGATGAATGATGAATCCAACCGTTTGTATATAGAATGCAGACCGCTCAAGGTCTTGCGGCGTCAAGAAGCAGGCGTGCAGCAAGAGTCCCAGAGCAGAAGAGTACCAGAGAGGAAATGCACAAAGCAATCAAACCTTCACCTTCGGAGAAAGATGAAAAAGGAATATTCCAATTCCTGGGGGGTTTTGTTATAATAATTTCGAAGCAGGGCCGCAGCAGAAAGGGTGGCTTTTGATCAGTTGGGGTCACTTGCATAGCATATATATAATATACAGTATAAGGAGTGTATACGGTACTCTCTAAAACACCTGCAATTAGTGCCACGCTAACCCTACGCATTTTATAGTTTGGAGTTTCTCAGCCTTCAGACTCACTGCTACATTATATAAAGATATACGGGTCTCAAAGCTAGTCCTAGTGGTCATGGCATGGTCATGATGATGGTCATGATAGTGATTAATGTCGCAATGCAGTGATAGTGGTGAGTATATCTCTCGATCATCACGTTTGCCCGATCTTTTCTTTCCATTCCCTTTGAACATGAGTCATCCAACCATGCGATTCCCGTGCAAACAGCCGCCAGAGGTTCGGCGTGGCCACTGAATAGCTTTAAGAAGATTGCTTGGCCGAATCCTACAATCCTCCTGAAAAACCACACTGCAAAACCACACCGCCGAACTGCGTCACCCAACTAGTCTCTAGCCTCCAATGGTGTTGGAGCCGATGCGCCCATCAAATCCTACCAAGAGGCATGAGAACCTGTTAAAATTATGTTAATTGTATTTAATTGTCTGAACTAGATTGAACAATGATTGAACCACCAACTTAGATCAACTTAGCGGACTTAGTTCAGCTTAGCGCCTTGTAGCTAGCATCCTATAGCGAACTATAGCGCCTTGGAGTTCAGCCGAGTCCATGGGCCATGGGGCTTGGCCCTGCTGAGCTCGGCAAATTTGAGCACCACTGAGTGCCACTAAGTCACTAAGTCGTGACACCTCTTCACTACCTCTTCGGGAATTGCACACATATCATTAAAGATATCCTTTCCATTCCTTTCCCATCGTTTCCATCATCCGCAAATCCCTGCGGCTGTAAATTGCAGGTCCTCCCACAGCTCAAGTGGTGGAGACCACTGACTTGGCATGCTGGACCTGAGCACTGAAGTTGTGCGCGGAGTCCTCCCCGATGCTCCATGGTGTCTTAAGTTTTCACGTTTCAAGACAATAGAAATGCATCATGTATGCATACAGTACTACATATTCCCATATTAATTTAATACTAATATATATATATACAATTATGTACATATATTTACTACATTCTAAAATGAGACGATTTACTACTTCCTTCTGAATGGCCACGAATGATTCGTGAAGAATGAAAGATGGTCTGAGTCACCTGAGTCACCTGAGTCACCTGAGTCACCTGAGTCACATGCTCAAGAACTTCCAACCTGCCTCGAAGGATATCAACTGACTCAGTGCGAGCGCTAACCTGCCACAGTCGGCCACAGTCCAAAAAACTGTCACAGCTGAAATCTATGAAAACTATGAAATCTATGAATGTTTGATTCTAGATGCCCAAATGTCCAAATCTTTGATTCTGAATCAAGTTTGTTCGCGGGACGGCTTGATGACTTGCAGTGATGTTCCAAGCACCTCCTGCTTCAGAGTAGAAAGCAGTCCTGCACTGCCAGAACTTCAGGCATAACTGACAGAGTAGATCGTTGGTCTTTTTTCTGACACCCTCACTGTCCGTTTCTCGAACATAACTCGCTGGACATATGACGCCTTGGGGCAGTTTTCATGATCAACGCCTGTTGTGCTGTGCCTTCCAAAAGTGAGGTCCGCACAAGTGTGTCATCAGCGCTTGCACCTCTGAGTGATCCTTCAAACAAGGAAAGTAATGGGGTGAGACTGACATCAGTCAAGATTCAACAGGGGCCTCTGGTAGCGAAGGCAAACTCAGCACTCTTGTCAGGATGCTCTTGTCAACGCGTCGCTGGAGCAAATTGTGATGAGGTTCTTTCGGATTGTCTCGTGTTTCGCCCTGAAAGTTCAGAGCGAAAGGAGCAAACAGAAATGAACCGAATTATTGTGAAGTAAAGATAAATCTATGAAAAACATGAATTCATATGAATAGATTACATCATTGAACACATGTCAGCAAAGTATCTGCAAATCTTGGAGAGTGAAATCCATTTGTCCCTCTTGCCTCGGAGACCATGCCTTGGGGCACTTGCACATCACATCTTTAAAAAACATGTGTATATATATATATACGCATATATATATATAACAATAATAGTAACAATAATAATAATAGTAAAAAAAATACCAATAATAATAAATAATAATAATAATATGTTGCATAGTCTCGCAACATTTTGCACTCTAGTTGATGAGCAAAACTTAGTGGGCTTGGAAACTGGCCTGCACAGAATAGTTTTAACAAAACAAACGCTTGTCCCAACCTGTGACAGGTGGCTAGTCTATGTTAGCCTCACCATATATTTCCACGGTGCAGAGGTTTGTGGCTGGAATTAGGATCCTGCTTGCAGCACTCTCCATCAGTTTTTGGCCGCAGCTCTTCGCTATCATGAACGTCAGCAACTTTCGACTTGAACTTTGAGATACTTTAAGTACATCCCTTGATGGAAATCTCATTGGAGGAGTTGATACCTTTGGTCATGCAGAGTCAAGTCTCATGTTGGGCTGGAGATGACCCCAATGTTCTACACAAGTGGATCAATGACTTCATGCGACAGCAAGAGCAATCTATGTAGCAAGTCCCTCAACGCTGACAACAAGCGGACTCCACAGCATGCTTTAGCTTCGGGATGCTCAGTTTGGTATGCTTTCCAGAGTCAGTTTTTTCTGGAAGATCATCAACTCAGTGCACAACAAATCCTATCAGACCTCACATCATATTGCCCAGCTACTTCACACGTGAGATCTGGCATCACTCCTACTGGCAACCATGCAGAAGAACGATTGATGGCAGATGCTGGCAGATGCTTTGTCTGAATTTTCCAGGTCGATGATTGTCGGCTTTGCTGGCATCACTGCGGGTGAAGCTTTTGAGACTGAGACAGCCACCCCGGACACTTTCTGCGGGTGGCTACGGATTGCGCGAGGCAAGATGACTTTTGTGCGTTTCCTCTGTCTTCATACCTTCTCTGATTCTTCTGGTGGCCAGGTGAAGGTCAGCTTTTTCAGAGCTGAAGCGGAAGCTATTTTCACAATGGTCAAAAGCTGGTGGAGATCTGCTTCTCGTGTGGTTTGCAATGGTTCGCATATTGGCAAAGTTTGCATTGCCACTGACTGCATGTCAGCCATTGATATTGGTTCTGGTGAGGTTGGGCAAGCCCCAGGGCCCCAGGGCTCGCGACAAAGATTCAACATGTCTTTCAGAAAGTGAGAGTGCTTGGGTGTCCTTGGTATCGAGTTTTCTTTCCAATAGATTCCTCCACACGGCAAGACGTCATCCAAGTTCAAATTGTAGCCTTTCATTCCAGAACAGAACCTGAGAATCTGGAATGACAAGGCGGACGCAGCTGCTAAGTGTAAAATGCATCAACCTTCACTAAGGTTATCCTCGCGCCTAATGGCAGGAGTGGTACGCAAGCCGCGCAAGCTCAGCAAGCTGCGCAAGCCATTGCGACTTTGACAACCACGGCATCTCCATATGCTGACTTTGTTCACCTTGCGAACTGAGGCCACGAGTCATGAGAAAATCAGAATCGACCGTGGTCTGTACAACAATGATTTCAATGATGTCTCACGGAATCAGAAGGAAGTGCACAGTGGGAATTGCCACTTCTACCAACGACCCAGACTTTCAGAGCAGAGGTGCGAAAATGAGAAGTACCTCTTGCAAACTTCCAAGGTAAGCTGGAAAATGTCTTGAGGTATACAGTGCATCTTATGTTCAAAAGTCTGAGAATAAGGATCCCATCTTGTGGTGCAACAAAGAGTTGTGCCAAGACATACGGAATCTCGCGTGCGCTTTCTTTTTATCATGATGCAATTTTGATTTCCGTGTAAAGTTGTGAAGTAAGAGTTAATGAAGAACGAAGGACAAACAATCCCTAGTCCAGCCATTTGGGTTCATTGGACAATGACAAGGACCTCTGGCATTGAATAGGCAGACTCAAACATCTAGCAATGTCTTCCGCCTGTGAGGGGAAACTGCAATCAAAGCAGAGTCAACTCGTAACTGCACGAAGGCAAACCCTATAGAGTGAGGTGGCCACCACACAGACCGCAGGGAGATGTGACACATTGGCCCGAAAAGAGCCCTAAAGTAGTTTGCGCTGCGTTCGAATCTGACATAGATGCGGTTCTATTTCTTCGTTTAAAGCAGGGAGTTTAAATCCCTTTGGGTTTTGATTGTTTCTTTAAATCTGGCTTTCTAAATCTTTAATATGTTGTTTTTGCGCGCAGCAACCTTCTGATCGTATGTGCGGGCGATGTCGGCTCGTATGGGACAAGGAAGCCGTTCGGCCAAACTCAAGCAGATGAGCCTGACATGTGTTATTGCATTGAGGCCAATCCATCCTGAGATTATGGGCTTCAATAAAGATTGTACATGATGCAATGGACCTGCCCTGCAAATCAATATCTTTTGGATGCGACCGTAGCAAAAACATGAAAAAGCACACAAGACTTCCATGCAGTCTCTAGGCTGCAAAACGCGCAGCTCGACGATTCTTGTTGATAAACAAGTTTCCGGTCAAGTATAGATGTGGTCGGTCCTAAACATTTCCGGTGTTTTGTGAGCTATGCAGATAAATTTGTCTGTGCACCAAGACCTGTAGGCGTTCTGAAGGAAGCTAGAGCCCGAAGGTTCGGAGAACGAATTGCTGTTAAATTGCAGTGTGGAAAACTAGATCCCCGCCTGCATTCTCAATGTCCTTCATTCATTGCATCCCAAAAATAGAATCAACACAGGCCGACTGTGCAGGAGAAGGGTTTACCAAGGCTTGTTGTATGTGTTCTTGGTCTCTCAGTTTCAGCAATGTCGTGAAGAGCAGCAAAGCACCAAACTTAGAATCAAGATGGGTTCAATCTCAAGCATGCCCAAGATCTAGCAGCAGCAAAGATTTTGAACGGAGAACCACTTATGAGGCTCAGGCAATCAGCGCTCGGTGCACCAAAGTGAAGCACTTCCATGGCCTTCCAGCTGCATCTATGCTTCGAGTTTTCAAAAAGCTGGCAGAATTCACTCTCTGTAAGACTCTAAGATCTCCAAGCATCTCCAAGACTCTACCAGTATAAGCCAACCCAAAGAGTCTGATTTGAGGGCACTTTGAAGGATATTTACATATCACGAAAGACGCATCCCGGCGTGCCAATTACCGGCCTACCATTTGATATACGTCACGGCGCTGCAGTAACTCTTGGATTTCGTGAGTTGCATGTTGCTTCAAAAAAGGTTCCTGTTTTAGTCACGTTTGCAACCTTTACATACCTTTACAGGGAATTATTTTCAAAAACGAGGTGGGCTCGCCATTGCATTTTTTTTTACAGTTTCGACAATTGAATCCAAATCTTTTCCAGGAAGAGCGTAGAATCAAGAATCAAGAGCGTGTTGGAAGTGCCATGAGAAATTCAAGACCGTAGGATCAAGGGCATGTTGGAAGTCACAGTACATGAGAAAATGAAGAGCATAGCATCAAGAGCGTGTTGGAAAGTTACGAAAGAGGCAAGAGCGTAGCATCAACGAGCACGTGGGCAAGTGCGAGTGAATGTTATACTGCCCCACCCCATCCCAACCCCCTAACCTTTAAATTTATATTGTATATATATATTTGTATATAAGCTATATAATCCAGTACATGTGCACATCCAAGTGAACGTTACTGCCCCAACCCCAAACCAACGGCCCCGAACCTCCAACAAAGGCGTCCACATGTGCACGTGCAAGTGAACATTACAGCCCTCCGACCATGGTTTTTATGGGACGGTAAATAGCGCGCCAGCATAACATCAGAAAATGTGAGTTTAAAAGCGTAAATTCAAAAGATAATGTCGGACAGTCGTCCCCACGGACCTCAACTGTGCCTGCTACAAGAGCTGACACCCGATGCATCCGAAGTAGTGTCCCTGCCACGAAACCTAAAATTATCGAAAGCTGTTCAAACTACTTGCCCTGGCAGGCAGTTTGAGTTCACGTTCAAAGACCTGGAGCGCAACACCACGAATAGAACACACCTGCGAGAAGACACGACTGTCAGGAATCTTTTGCAACCTCTTTGTCAGTGCCCCGAGTCCATGTGCACAAACCCTGGAATTTGTTGGCCACACCGTTTGGGTAAATGTTGTATTTAAACTCTGTGCGCTCTCAAAATAGTTGCAGCCTTTTTTCCAACACATCGTCCGTATGTCGTCAATAGATTTCATATGGATTCTTAGATGTTATCTGTGTGCCTCGCACAACCGAGCAAATTTGCGCTGGTCTGGCAAGCCTTGGTAAAGCAATGGAAGCCGGAATAGTCCAAGGGAAAAAACCTTCAGATGTACACTCGTTACAGTACGGGCAACTCAGTCGCTGCACCATCGAAATCTTTGTTGAAAATCCATCCAAGATATCAAAAATCACTGGCTCAACGTCTCCAAGTCCAAGCAGGTCGAATCTGCAAAGTCCCTTGAGTTCCTTGCCCCAACAAATCCCGTGGTTTTCCATCCAAGACAAGACATCAGCAATGCAATCTGCCTGCTTTGCACCAAGTGGAGGCGGAAGTGCTACCAGAAGCAGAAAGCACAGGGTTGAAACATGAACTCGTGAGATTAAGCACAAATGCAGAGCCTCCCTCCCCGCCTCCTTCACTATTCTACCCGCAAGCTCCCCTGCATCAAGCTCATCTGACCTTTCGCTCAGACAATTGCGCATGACTGATTTACAACGCCTCTAAAAAAAACTATCTTAAACCAGTAGGCACGAAGGAGACCTTGCAACCTGCGCCTGCTTTAGAAACGGAATTGTATATTCTGGTCTGTTTCAATGCCTCTGCAAATTACTGTACAGAGGCAAAACCTCAAGAGCGACTTTGCAAAAACATTTCAACAGTCATGGACGTTCCAAAAAGACCCTCAAGACCACAACAGCACCAATAGACCGGCTGGCAAACTGGAAGACAAAGCTGTCAAGATGCAAAATCTTTGAAGGAAGAATCACAGGCAGACAGGCAGGATTCGTTGAGGTCAATGAGGGCTAATTCACATGCCCTGTTTTTTCCCGCTAATTTGTCGACCGTTTTCCTTGACACGCATTGACGGCCAGAAATTGGGCCCCGCTGGTGGGATGATGGAAATCCTTTCTGTCAGCTCAAATTGTTCCTCGCCAGTGCCAAGTGACGTAGACTCAAAATAGGCCCAATATGGATTCAACATATTCGAACACAACCTCCAAATGGCCTGACACAGGCCCAGTATCGGCTAGGCCTTCGGTTGGCTATCTGGCTGACTAATGCTAATCATATCTGAAGCTGTTTGCAAGGAATGTGTGCCCAACCAAACAAAAAAACGACAAAAAAATAAAGTCACGTGGGAAGTGCCCGTTATATAATTATATATAATTACCAAACCGACCAAACCTATTTCAAACGTATTTAGGTTTTGTTTTGTGTTGGTTGGAGGTCATCCCCTGCTCGAGCCCCAAGACTACCTTGGTTCAAAATAAGCCGATGCTGAGCCCAGCTTCATCGGATTTTGCTGTGACATTTGCCGAGCAGTGTACATATATCGGCTCAAAAAGGCAATAGGAGCCTGGAAATCCAGCTGTGCCGGTTTTTGGACCACTTTGGTGCTAATTTGGTCTCTTCTGGTCACCTTCAAGGAAAAGAATTGCCTTACTTCGAGCGATCCCCGCCGTGACAAAATATTTTGTCATAGTTTCCGACATCTCATCTGGAAGTATATATGGCATATATTGTTTGACGTTCTATTCCGGCATTCTTTCTGGCATTCTATATATTCTGACGTTCTATTCTGGCATTCTATCTGGCGTCTATTTGACATCCTATCTGGATCTTTTCTGGCATTCATTCTGGTATTCTTTCTGGCATTCTATCTGACCTGCTATTCTGGCATTCTATCGGGCATCTATTCTGACATTCTCTCTGACATGGGCACTGCCGGACCCCAACCGCGAGCGCCAGATCTGCCGGACCTCAACCGCGAGCTCCTGTTCTCAGTGGGCACTTCCGGACCTCAACGGCAGTGCCCACTGAGAACTGGAGCCTGGTTGAGGCATGGCAGTGTCCACTGACTCTGGAGCTCGCGGTCGAGGTCTGAGCTCCAACCCACTGCGATCTGGAGCTCGCGTTTGAGGTCCACTGCGATCTGGAGCTCGCGTTTGAAGTCCACTGAGATCTGGAGCTGGCGTTTGAGGTCCACTGCGATCTGGAGCTCGCGTTTGAGGTCCACTGCGATCTGGAGCTCGCGTTCGAGGTCCACTGAGATCTGGAGCTCGCGTTTGAAGTCCACTGAGATCTGGAGCTCGCGTTTGAGGTCCACTGAGATCTGGAGCTCGCGTTTGAGGTCCACTGAGATCTGGAGCTCGCGCTTGAGGTCCACTGCGATCTGGAGCTCGCGTTTGAGGTCCACTCCGATCTGGAGCTCGCGTTTGAGGTCCACTGAGATCTGGAGCTCGCGTTTGAGGTCCACTGAGATCTGGAGCTCGCGGTTGAGGTCCGGAAGCGGAAGGAAGGAAGGGCGGAGGGAAGGAGGAGGAAGTAACTCTGATAAAATCTAGAGACCCTCACCTGGCAGGTGGGCAACAAAACAAAGTTGTTTGAAAAACATCCGCCGGCAGACTCCTAACATTAGAAGTCATTCACAATAGAAGCCTGTAAATGGGAAGCCATCTGCACCAGAATTTTGATCGCCTTTCACATGGGCATCTTGTTATACTGTATATACCTGGTATTTTACACCACGAGCATTTTACATTAGGTAGGACATTTATCACTCGATCTACACATTCAAAAGCATTTGGCATTTGCAGTGGAATGGCAACAACCAGAACCCAAACGGTTTTTGACCAGAAACTCAGGGGTTCCCAACTCAGACCATTGATTTTCAGTGCGGCTGGTCTTCGTTGCAAACGCAACGAGAGTATGGGGGAATTCAGCAAACCTTTGTGTCAAACCCTCCATCAAGATCTCGACACTGAATTTTCTTGGGACCTACCGAAGCAACTTTGAATCCATGTCGTCAACTTTCCACAGTGCATTACTCAAGGGCCGGAACTATATCCCCCTTTGATGTCTGAAGTCTAGGTAGATTCCAAGCACTCCTGCAGCTTTTAAGCTTAGTCCGGTGACCAAAGAGCGAGAACAAAAGTGGCCAAGGGGGGAAGTGCCGCAGGGCACCTAAAAAGCGGCAAATTGCTTTGTATGAGCATTTGCAAAGAAAAATGACTGCATGCAGCAGTATGCAGCTACAGTCTTCACGCACGAACTTCAACTATGAGTGCGTATATCTTACACTCACAACGAGAATCTTGCCTCGAAAGAGGTATCATGAATGAGCAGGCATTTGCTGCAAGCAGTCCAAATTCAAAGCAGGTCAGCAAACAAAATAAGACGTATGGCAGGGATTGTCTCATTGCCTCAAGGCAAACAGTCCTTGCCCAATCCTTTTGCTTACTGAAAAAAGAATCCTCACACTCTGTCACTCAATATTTATCATTTCAGTGACTTGCAACCCACTGATCTACAAGTGGGTCTCTAGTTGGTTTCTCTTCTTTGAAGACAAACGTAAAGTATCTGAGGAGGCCCATGTGTCATTTGCCGAAGTGCCGCTTCTGGAGTAAGCTACAATAACCTGTTACAAATTGAATTAAGGATCCTCAACATCCTTTTGAAGACAGGTGTAAAATACTTTCCTTCGAGCAGTCGAACAGGAAAACAACCATCAAACGCAGCAAGTTCAGCAAGATGCAGCAAGTTGTTGCAGCAAGCTGTTCGGGCAAGACACAGCTGGAACACCTTGTCTGGTACATTCAAGGTACAGTCAAGGTGCATGATTGATTCTGGAGACTGCTGCTAACGTTTCCACCATCTCTGCATCAGCGTCTGTTCTCTGCTCAGCCCACTGAAGTGCTGTTTGACCATTCATGTCCTGGTCGGTTTGGCACGTTTGCTTTTTATAAATGTATTTCCATGCTTGGCATTACAACATATTCAATGAACATATCAATAAAGAGCCCCTTGCTTTGCGACTCCTGCATGAATTGTTGCATTCACCAGCTCACGGAGTCAGCTTCTACTGCTGTTAATGTGGCCTGACCATTCCTCAATCTATTTCAATCTCTGGATAAGCAACCTGCGACAAGATCAAACTTCAAACTGCCTCAGGGTCCTGGAGATGCAAGTTTGCCCTGGCTTCAATAAGAATTTTCATGGAACCAATGCTCCCAATTGCAGCGGCCAGCATCAATGGTGTCATCCCATCCTTGCTGCAGTGATCAATATCAGCACCTCAAGACATCGTTCGTCTTCACTTTGCAGTACCACATGTTGTCCAATCTCTACGATTTTTTTGATCTGACAAGAACAGTTTGGCTTAGCATAAGTCCCCGGCCCGAATCAATGATCAGCCGAATCATGTCGGCCACGCCACTTGCAAGGCAAGCTCGCTCCCAGTACAGGCTGGATCGGCCATGTCGCTGATATGCAAAACCGGAATTCCCCAAAGGATTGCCACTCAAACCACTGCTGTCAGAAGATGATGTCAACGCATGCATCAAAGCCGTGACTCCATTGTTGTCTTCCAGGTCTATTGACGCTCTGCCATTCAAAAGCAAAATTGCAACTCCAGTGTGATCTTGTTTCCATGATGCAGGATAGTAAAGAGAAGATGCCGTCCACATGAGTGCTGTCATCCCCATTTCGTCTTGCACATCCGGATTGCATTTTGCTGACAGGAGACCTTGCACTTCTGAAACAATACCAGCCATGGCTGATTGTATCAACGGAGTGTGCCCAAAATTGGTGTCATGCGCGGTTCCATCTCCAGAGTCTGCAACACCACAACTCAATTCAATGCTGGTGAGCGTGCTGAGCGGCTGGCAGGCATTCGCAGCCAACACCCAGCTTCTATTGTGCATTTCTGAATCAAATTCGCCATCATCTTGTGCGCCCAATCTGTTTACACCACTGCAAACAGTTGCCATTCGGCTTGTTCCTCCTAAGCTGCCCAACACCCCAGGAATACGCACAGGCCTAACCAAAAATGTTGTTCCTCCCAAAAAAAAACTTCCGCAAACAGTGTGTTCACGCTTGGGGTTCCTACGGTACTAGTTACGGCATGATGTTGGTTCAAGGTTGCCTCATACTTGTTTGCATTTTCGGTGACCTTTACAATTCCTCGGGTTTCCCTTGGCGAAGGAAGTCTCGCACGAAATGTGTTCCAAGAGACTGCTATACGCAAGCCTATTACAGGAGGTGCGTTCTCGCCTGTGTGCCGTGTCCCTTTTTGGAGCTATGCACGTTTTTCGTGGCAGGTGTGGATTTTCGGGCCGGTTGAAGCCTTGAACGTTTTTTTGCATGACAGCGCCAGACTTTCGATGTTTTTCCCAAATGCGTAGCAAGGGTTCCCGTTTCACTCTGGGGGGTTTGGGGGTGGAGGGTGTGTTCCCTAGACATTGCGCAACCTTTCGCAACCATTCGCCGGCGTTCGTATGAGGTCCCTGTGCCCGTGCCTATGGGGAGCTACAAAAGTGGTCATTTTTGAGAGTTTCAAACGTTGCCCAACCTTGTTTCGTGTCGCACGCGTGACACTTTGTGACGTCGCAACATGTTTCATAACATGACAAAAGTATACAAAAGTTGTTTTGCAAGGTTTTCAGAAGATGACTTGCATTTTTTGTGGCACTCGACACACTTTGGACGCGCCCATCTTCATTTTGCGTGGCAAGCGCAGCACTTTAGACATGTGGTATTGCGTGTTTTTTGCGAATCGCATTGTCAGAGCTGTGTCAAGTGGCGATGATGCACAAATAGCGTGGCAGGCGTGGGACATCGTGAGAGTCTCATTTTGCGTGGCAACGGCAGTATTTGGTGCAGATCTGTTGTGTGTCGCATGTCATTTTGAACAGGCGTAATATTTGGGACACTCTACACTCTACACTCCACACTCTACACTTGACACTCCACACTCTACACTTTACACTCCACACTCTACACTTTACACTCAACACTCTACACTTTACACTACACACTGTACACTTCACTTTTCACTCGATGCTTCACACTTTACACTTCACACTCTACAATTTGCACTTTGCACTTGACACTCCACACTTTACAGTCTATACTCTACACTTTAAACTTTACCCTTCACACTTTATACTTTACACTCCACGCTCCACACTTTACACTTCACACTTTACACTTATACCCCACACTCGACTCTACACTTTTACACTCCGCACTCTACACGCTACACTCTACACTTTACACTCCACACTCTACAGTTTACACTTTACACTCATGCTCCACACTCGACACTTTACACTCCACCCTACACTGTACACTTTACACTCCACACTCTACACTCCGCACTCGACACTCTACACTTTACACTCCACACTTTACACTTTACACTCGACACTCGATACTCGACACTTCACACTCCACAATTCCCACTCATACCCTACACACTACATTCCCCCCTCAACACCCCACTGCTGGCGGCGCGCGATCGTGCTCTGCCGAAGGTACAAAAACTGGCTGCAGCCACGGGTTGCAACATCTATGAGGTTTTCCTCTCTATGTGTTTCGACATCTGTGCCATTAACATACGTGTGAGCATTTGGGTTCGAGGGCCGCATCTTGCTTCATCCGCGAGGCAAGCGAGCTACTTCGTGCACGTTGCCAAAACGTTGGAGGCGCGGGTCGAAATCAGAGGTGATTTCAGAAGTCATTTTTTGTGGCAGGTTCAGTGTTTGGTGAACTTGGCGGATGTTTGAAAGGCTCCAAAGTATCGTTTGGTGAAGCTGACGTCATTTTTGTTTTGGTGTATAGTCAAGCTCAATTTCGTGGCAACGGCAATACTTCAGAGACCTCAACGAAAAAGTTGCAGAAACCTAGGTAAAATATTGTTTTTCGCAACGTTCATTTTCAATGTTGATTTTTCGCAGCGAGTGCAGTACTTGGTGAGTTTCCAACGTGCTTTCTAAACCCGCAATACTTGGTGGAGTTCTTCTACATGTGCTCGCGCAACCCTCTCTTCACTGTGCGCGTGTGGGCGCGCTCTCGTCGTCGCAAAACCTTCTCACTTTGTCCGTGTCCGGTCGCTCTCATTGTGGTGGGGGACTCATTTTGAGATCGCTTGCCGAACCCGCTCAACACTTTGCGCATGTCAGATCGCTCTCGTTTGCGGCGCGGTGCTCATCTAGACATCACTCGCGCAACCCTCTCGTCACTTTGCGCGTGTCAAAGCGCTCTCGTCGCGGCTTGGCCCTGATTCCGTCAAGGAGATCTTGTCAAGGAGATGTTCGGAGAGCTTGCACAAGGATCTTGACGAGGGGTGTTTCACAGAGATCTTGCCAAGGGATCTCTCACAGAGACATTGTACGGACATCTCTTACAGAGATCTTGACAAGAGCTTCATCTCTTTTTGAGAGCTTGAACAGAGATCTTATTATTTAGAGATCTCTTGCAGAGATCTTCCGTTAGAGACCTTGTACCGGGATCTTGCATAGAGATCTCTTACAGAAAGGTTGTACACAGAGATCTTGCAAAAGGATCCCCTACAGCGATCTTGACACGAGACCTATCATAGAGAGCTTTGGATCTTGTATAGAAATCTCTTCCAGCAATCTTGCCAAGAGATCTTATAGACCTTGTATGTACAGAGATCTTGCTAAGAGACCTGTTGTAGTTATAGAGCAGATCTCTCACATCTTGTACAGAGATCTCCTACAGCGATCCTGCACGGAGGAATATCCTGTAGAGACCTTATGGAGAGATCTTGCCAAGAGATGTTCTATAGAGACCGTGTACAGAGATCTTACAGATTTCTTGTGCGGAGATCTCTTCTGGAGACCTTGCGCGGAGATCTTCCGAGGAGATCTTTTTTGGGAACCTTGTGATCGTGCAAAGAGATCTCTTGCAGAGAGATCTCTTGCAGAGAGGTCTCTTGCAGAGATCTTGAGAAGAGATGTTTTGTAGAGGCCTTGCGTGCGAGAGAACTCCTATAGAGAGCTTGTACAGAAATCTTGTGCAGGGATCTCCTACAGCAGTCTTGCTAAGAGACCTCTCACAGAGGTCTGGTTGTCTAGAGGTGTGGTTGAGAGATCTTGCCAAGGGATCTCCTATGGGCACTTGATACAGAGATCTTGGCAATTCTCTGTCACAAAGATCTTGACGAAGGGAAAGTGAACTGGTCTCTTGCAGAGGACCTTCTACAGATATCCTTACGCAGAAGCTTCTATAGAGATCCTGTCAAGGAGATCTTGCACACAATCTTTTGCAGAGATCTTCGCAAATGAATCTTGCAGAATCTACCCGGGTATCTCTTCTCTTCGTCATGTTCTTTGCAACACTGTTTGGGGTCTCTTGCCAAGACAAACTGATTACAACACATCACAACACTTGTCGTGTACAGAGTATAGGAAAGCTCCACACTGATTGCCAGGAAGCGTCTCTGACGCAACGTGTCCACTGCCATCTTCGAGGCTGCACTCATAAGAGAAGTTGCTGGTGCTTCGTCTCGTCTCTCTTTGGGCTTGGTGGATGCTGGCCTTTCCTCCGGTGTACATGCTGCAGACACAGCATTACGGCGACACCCTCGCATTCTCACTCCATTTCCAGGAGCAGCATGGGCTACTGCTGACACTGCTGCAGTTGCTGTCGCTACAACATCATCATCGTAGTCACATGACTTTCCGAAGAGAAGCATGTTGCAAGAGTGTCCAATGATACTCTCGGCCGCGCCAGCCCTCACCCTTTCAAGCTTTGGACCACTGCTCTGGGGCGTTGTTGGCGATCTACTTTGTGAAAAATTGTACAAGTGTGACAATGTTAGAATGAGTCTGTAGATGTCTGTCGCGTGGGTATCTGCGGCCACTCTGTTTTTAAATGCTGAGAATGCAATCTGAGTCGCCCAACTGGAGTGCCTTTTGGGCTTGCTCAATTAGGAGATGTGCCTCAATAAGGCCACAAAGTACAAACGAGTGATCACAAGCGATTACAGACGATCACGTGTGGTCTGACTCAAGCAGCAAATCGAACTTGTCAAGTCTGTCAGCGCCATCGAAACTCCATTCTGGCCTCAAGATGTTGAAGCCTGTGACAAGCCGCGACACAGCCATGAGGAAGTTTGCAAGTGTTTACATCGTCCGTGCAAAAATCAAGTCTATCTCACAGCTGGTTGATGTCCAGTTTATAGGGTGCATATAGCGAAAGCATTTAGGAGTTTACAGGGAGTATATACATATATTATATGGGCACCCTATGAATGAGTCGTATACACGTAAGCTATCACACATGTGCAGGTCATGCATGTAGGGTGTAAGGAGTATATAAGCAGTGATGAAGCAGTGTATATACTACACAAAGGTGTATAATGTTAGTTCGGCAGGTATATTTAATGAATATATATATATATATGTCATTGGCAATATATGTATATATGTACATATATACTGTATGTATTTCTATATATATATGTATATATATATGTAAATATGTATGTATATATATATATGTGCGTGTGTCTTTTTATGTAAATGTAAATCAATATTTATATATATATATTATATATGTACATGTATGTAAAAAAGCATCATATGTATATGTATGTATATAAACATGTATTCGATATATGTACATCTGTGCAAAAATATATGTATACATAAATATATATATATGCATACGTATAAATATATATATACACATGCATATCTATATGTATATACATGTACACACATATATATATATATAAGTATGTATGTATATGGGCACGCTATGCAATGAGTCGTATGCAGGCAGCTATGAAACATGTGTAGGTAGTATATGTAGGGTGTAAGGAGTATATGTGTATAATATGTATGTGTTTTCGCGCAAATTTGTAAATATATATATATATATATGTATGTATATACTTATTTATTTATACATATATATATATATGTATACATATGTAAATATATATATATGTAATTACATGCATATGTATCAAAATATGTATAGATATATTTACATATTTAAATATACACAATGAATGTGTGTATATATGTAAAGGTAAATGTATTTATATCTATATATGTCTGGACATGTCTGTGTATATATATATGTCTAGATATGAATACGTGTACTGTAGATGTATATAGATATATGCATGTATACCTATGTATTTATGCATATATATATATATGTGGTATGGATATGTCTGTGTATATATATATATATGTATGTATATATGTGTCAATGTATAGGTTCATATATATATATATATGTCTATATATGTATATGTGTATATATATAGTGTATATATATATATGTACATATACATATATAATACATCTATATGTATATATGTATATATGTATATATATACATATATATATATATATGTATATATGTATACAAATATTTATGGCATATATACACGTATTTGTAGTTACATACTGCATGCAAGCATAAAGGATATAGCATTATACAGGTATATATAGGTAGTATGCATAGGTACGCTTTGAGTATATAATCTGCATACAATGACTGGTAGATCATGTGTGAGGTATGCTATAGGCAGAACCTAAACAGGTTTTGGGTAGAAATATACAGCTAGACAGGGCCCAGTGACGAGGTTGCGGCTCTCAAATGCTGAAAATAACAGACAAATGGGAGGCTGTGCCTCCCAAATGCCGTACAATTGGGAGGCCGTGCCACCCAAATGACTGTAAATGCGAGGTTTTGGGGGCGGGGGGGGACCATATCATTGGGGGAGTACCGGGCTCACATATACATATACACATATATATATATATATGACCCAGGACGCCCAAGCCCACCCATGGTCCCCCCTGTGGCCTGGGATGGTGGTATGGTTCTTCTGGTCCCCCCCCTGTGGCCTGTGGTGGTGGTATGGTTCTTCTGGTCCCCCCCCCTGTGGCCTGTGGTGGTGGTATGTTGGTATGTTGGTATGTTGGTATCGATGTATGTATGTATGTATGTATGTATGTATGTAGGTAGGTAGGTAGGTAGGTATGTATGTATGTATGTATGTATCCATGCATGCATGTATGTATGTATGTATGTGTGTACGTAGGTACGTAGGTACGTAGGTACGTAGGTATGTAGGTATGTAGGTATGTAGGTAGGTAGGTAGGTAGGTAGATAGGTATGTATGTATGTATGTATGTATGTATGTATGTATGTATGCATGGATGTATGTATGTGTGTGTGTGTATGTATGTATGTATGTATGTATGTATGTATGTATGTATGTATGTATGTATGTATGTATGTATGTATGTATGTAGTATGTATGTATGTATGTATGTATGTATGTATGTATGTATGTATGTATGTATGTATGTATGTATGTATGTATGTATGTATGTATGTATGTATGTATGTATGTATGTATGGTCCCGTGTCCTGTGTTCCCGAGAGCTTGGGGGACCATACCATTGGGGGGGGGGCCAGGGATCCGGAGTCCGGACTCATATGTTTGACCAAAGCATTTTTCTTACTCTGTTGCCTCAACTTCATCAAAAAACGAAAAGCCATGGTCATACAAGAGAAATGAGAGGAAGGCTGAGCCTCATCAAAGAATGTATTGCATCCTTCCATACATGATAGTTTTCTTGCAAGAATAGTGATTCTCATTTAAGGGAATATCTTGACTTCAAGGCAGATTTGTAAGCTGTAAGCAGCATTTTCCTGTAACAACATTTTTCTTCAAATCAAATGCTTTGAAAACTTGTTTCGTCCCATCTTCCCAATGTTTCTTTCTGCATCTCTAACAAACAAATATGACAACATATCTTCTGCCCAAAATTGCTTCAGGGTGGGTATTGGGGGGGGAAGAAAAAGCAGTGAAAAAGGTAGTTTTTTTGGGGGGGGGTAGCATATATTATATATATATGTATATACCATTAATATACCATTTTATTGACTATGACCGTATCTTCAAGATACCTTTAATTTGCCTTTTAAATACAATGTAGTACATCTTCAATATACATTTTATACGCCATCTAATATACTTTTATTATACCTTTATACAAATACAAGTTTCTTGGCCATGTTCTTGCCTCCAATATACCTGTAGGATACTTTCAATATACCTTTAATATAACTTTGAACTCCAATCTAATTAATTAATACACATGTACTACCTCTTTAATATACAATTTAATATACCGTTAGTATATCATTTGAGAAACCTAGAATCTACCTTTGATATACCATCTTGAAAATAGCTCTAGTATGCCTTGACGATACCTTCAATAAATATACCTTTAATATATCATTTAATATACTAGTTAATATACCCTTAGTGTACCATTTAGCAGAACATGAGAATACCTTAAATATACGTATTTTTAGCTAACCTTTAACACACCTTTAACATACGGTCAATATATCTTCAATATCCTTTGATATTCCTTTTGAAATACCTTTGATATACCATGTCATACACCTTTAGTGTATTTAAAATATCCCATGGATATACCTTTGGTTTTTCCCAGGATATCTTCAATGAACCATTTTATTGGTTAATAAAGGTATGTGACAGGCATATTACAGGTATATTACATTTAGATTCAAGGTATATTAAATGGTATATTAAGGTATATGCAGGTATATTACTTGGCCAGCCCGTAGCTGGCTTAAAACGTGGGCTGGGGGGGGGGGCGGTGCACGGAAGTTGCTGGAAAATGAAAAAGGGGTGCTGGAAAATAAAAATGTGGGGAAAATGTGGGGTTCAGAATCATAAAATTGGTGTTTGGGCCTGGTGTTTGATAATCCTTTTTGTGGTGTTAAAAACGCCTTTTTGTGGTGCTAAAGGCTAAGTTTGGTGTCAAAATTGTGGTTTTAGGTGTGGAGGATGTCAAAAACAAACCAACCAGTCCCAACATATGGGAAGTCAGTGCTCAGGAAAAACCAAATTGCAGCCACCATTATCTACTGCAATGTTCTATTGCTACAACTTGAACTACAATATTTTAACAGTTTACAACAAGAAACACGCCCCTGTGGGAACACAGCCGCTACCCTTTCGCTCTGGCCCAACATGACCAAATTCTACCCGGATCCAGAAGATGCTGTGAAACCGTGAAACTGTTCAAGTGAAACTGCCGGGCTTTCGGAAGCTTGAAATTGGAAACAAAACCATGAAAAATGCTAAAAATGCATGTTTTTTCACATTGTTTGGGCGGTTTTTGGGAAAAACCCTGCAAAAAGGGCCAAAAATCGACCAAAAAAGTGCCAAAGGGGCGGTGCACGGATTTTCCCGACTGGTTCCCGACTGGTTCCCGACTGGTTCCCGATTTCCAAAAAGTGGTGTTGGAATTTGCCGAAAGCGGTGTCAAGTTTTGGCCGAAATTCGCCGAATTGGATGATTTCTTAGGATTTGGGAAGTGTTTTGGTGGGTTTGGGGCGGGTGGGGGCTAGTTTGGGGGTGTTCGGGGGAGTTCGGGGGGTTGTTTTGGGGTGGCTGGGGCGGGGGTTTGGGGGTTTTGGGAAAGTTTCTGGTGATTTTTGGTGATTTGGAAAAATGGGGGAAATTTTTTGGGGATTTGGAGGGCTTGGAAAGATTTGGAAGGGGTTTGGAGGGATTTTGAAGGGTGGAATGATTTCTGGTGAGCACTGGGATTGCTTTTTATTTTTCGAAAAGGGGAAATGCCTTGCCATGTTGGTAAAGCCCACTCAAAGCCATGTCAAACACGGCAGAGGGCACTTACACGGTGCCTATCATTTTTTCGTCCTTGAGCCTGTGTGTAAAGTTGTCATGTGCATATTGATGATAACACGAAGCCTAAGACGGCCTGAAAAACAATAATCTGTTTAGATATCCCCTGATTGGCTTTAAAGGTTTGGCCAGTTTTTGGTGCAAGGGGGGAAATAAAACACACATCGTTGACTTCACCACCTCCATGCTTCCTGGCAACTTCATGGAAACCCTCAAGAAGTTTCATCAAAGTTTCCGAACCCCAAAAAATGCATTCTGAACCCCAAGAAATGGATTCTCAGCACCAAGTTTTCACCAAAAAATTGAAATTTGACACCAAAAAAGGGGTTTTCCAACACCATATTTCTTGTTCCGGGCACCGGCTAGTCGATGCACAAAAAACGGCCAGACCCACCCTTGCACCAGGTTTGCACCAGTCGTACACCAATACCCCCCCCCCCCGAGCACCAAAAACTGGCCAAACGTTTTAAGCCAGCCAGGGGCTTGGCAATATATTACAGATATAATCAAGATATATGAATTGTAAGTAAATTACATGTATATTCAAGGCACACTCATGTAATATTAGATGGTATATTGAAGGTATATGAAATGGTAAATGACAGTTGTATGAAATAGTAAATAAAAACCTATATATATATATACAATGCATGCTAAATATATCGTATGAAATATTAATGGTATATTGAAAGGTGTACTAGATGGTATATTGAAGGTATATGACATGGTATATTACATGTATACTAGAGGTATTGAGAACGGCATTTCAAAAGCATGTTAAAAGTATATTGAAGGTATATTACAGGTGTATTCAAGACGTAGTCATGTTATGTTATATTGAATTGTATATTAAAGGTATATGAAATGGTACATAAACGACGGTATATCAAATGGTATACCAAAGGCATTAAAGGTATATCAAAGGTAAATTCAAGGTACACTATAGGTATAACTATTAAATATACTCATGTTATATGAAATCGTATGCTAAAGCCCTATTAAATTGTATATTAAACGTATACTGCAGTAAAAGGTGTATTAACAGTGTATTAGAAGTATTAAATGGTATTTGAAACCAACAAAAAACAAAATATAAAAAATTGGATTCAAATGAGAAAGCCAAAACCAAAACCAAAGACACCAACACCAAAAAACAACAAAACAAAACAGGAAAAAAAGAAATGGGACTCCATGGGTGGCCCCCAACCAAAACAAGAAAAAAATCAAACCAAAAAAAAAAACAGAAGAAACCAAAACCAAAAAAAACACAGATTTAGGACCTTATGGGGGGTCCCCAACCAAAACCAAAAAAAAACACAGATTTGGGACCCTAGAGGGGAGAGCAGTGCTTTCTCGAGTTTGTCGTTTTTTTTTTTTGGTTTGGTTTCTTTGATTTTGGATTTTTTTGGTTTTGGTTGGGGACCCCCCATGGGGTCCTAAATCTTTGGTTTTTTGGTTTTGGTTTCTTTGGTTTTGGTTTTTTTGGTCTTGGTTTTTTTTTGGTTTTGGTTTTTTGGTTTTGGTTGGGGACCCCCATGGGGTCCTAAATCTTTGTTTTTTTTTGGTTTTGGTTTCTGTGGTTTTGTTTTTTTGTTTTTGGTGTCCTTGGTTTGGTTGAAAACCCCCCATGGGGTTATGTATATGTGTATATTGTATATGTATATATATATATACTATATGTGTATTTATGTCATACCATATATTACTGCCAAAACAAACTAGAATAACAATGAGTAAGACACATATGAAAAAAAAATACTTTACTTCGTGTGATCCCCACCATGACATTTATACATGTTGTTACTGGCAAATCTTCTGGCATTCTATCTGACATATTTTCTGGCATTCGATCTGGCATTCTATCTGGCATATCTTCTGGCATTCTACCTGGCACATCTTCTGGCAGATGTTCTGGCATATCTTCTGGCAGATGTTCTGGCATATCTTCTGGCATATCTTCTGGCATATGTTCTGGCATATCTTCTGGCATTCCATCTGGCATTCTATCTGGCATATCTTCTGGCATATTATCTGGCAAATCTTCTGGCATTCCATCTGGCATTCTATCTAGCATATCTTCTGGCATATTATCTGGCAAATCTGCTGGCATTCTATCTGGCAAACATTCTGGCACTTTATCTGGCATATCTTCTGGCATTCTAGCTGACATTCTATCTGGCATTCTATCTGGCATACCTTCTGGCATTCTATCTGGCATATCTTCTAACATTCTATCTGGCATATCTTCTGGCACTCTATGTGGCATATCTTTTGGCGTGGATACTCGCGGTTGAGGTCCGGCAGGGAACACTGGGCGTGGATGGTCGTGGTTGAGGTCCGGCAGGGAACACTGGGCGGGGATACTCGCGGTTGAGGTCCGGCAGGGAACACTGGGCGTGGATGGTCGTGGTTGAGGTCCGGCAGGGAACACTGGGCGTGGATGGTCGTGGTTGAGGTCCGGCAGGGAACACTGGGCGTGGATGGTCGTGGTGGAGGTCCGGCAGGGAACACTGGGCGTGGATGGTCGTGGTTGAGGTCCGACAGCGAACACTGTGGATCGCGAGTCGCAGTTGAGCAGGAGGACGAGGAGGACAACGAGAGGAGGAGGAGAGGAGGAGGAGGCGGCAGGAGGAGGAGGAGGACCAGGCAACTTAGATAAAATCTAACAACCCTCACCTGGCAGGTGGGGAAATATGGTCCCAAAATCATGCACAACCTTCAAAATTTATCCCCTCAAAAATATCTGCCAAAATGTTATTAAAACACTGTAAATCCCAGTAAAAACAGAAAAATTGTAGACTTTTTTGGGTGGTACCATATACATATATATATATATACATACGTCAGTTTTCTCCGTGTTGATAGAGTGAACCGATGACTTTCTCAGCGCAACACCTTGCCTTGACTCCATCCCCCGCTCACCTGATGGAGCCTTGGCAGCATCTTTCAATCGAGATTCCTCTCAAGACATAAGCTATGTCGCCCTGTGTCCCCCTGTGTCCCCCTGTGTCCCCCTGTGTCCCCCTGTGTCCCCCTGTCCCCGTATCAATGTGACAAGCGCCTGCTAGGTCTTTGCTCACTAACATCTTGGCTCCGTCCCACATGGAAGATATGAATTCTTGCGTGTAGCATTGCAGCAAAATTTCAAAACGTTTATATACCTACTAGTACTGGTTCCAGTCGTTTGTAAGTTAAACATGTCTCCATAGCTCAATTGCGGCACGTCAAGCATTAAATCTCTCCACTTCCAGAATTCTTCTCACCCAGATCCAAAGATAATTGTGGGAGCACTTTCTGCATGGTTCACATATAAAATATAACGTTCATTGAGGAATTATGAGGAATTAATTGTGGTAGCAACAGAACATCCGAACCTCTGAGTCCTTGGGACTTGCGCAGATAAATTTTGCTCGCACAAGAAACTAAAAGGTGAATCTTTCCCAACATTTCTCCTTGTGCACAAAACATGCTTCTGAAGTTTGCAAGTTTGCTGTGCCAAGGTTGAGGCACTCCACAATGGGAAGGTCGCGCTAGGCAGCACTTCCGGCCTTGCAAATTTACCGCGACCGGTTTGAAGGTCGCAGTATGCCACAGTACAACGGCGGCGAAGGTCATGAGTCGATGATTAGCTGCTGGCTATCCAAGTAAGGTCCGCAAGGCCCCGGCAGTTCCAGAGTAAGCCAGAGTTTGGAAGTCCATATAGGTAACTGACATCCAAACAACAACAGCCCGTAACATCCAGCACCAGAAGGGCAACCACTTCAAAACAAAGGAAATCCAAGGCATTTCATGGCATTTCCAACAAATCTTTTGACTGCTCTTTGAGATTACATGAAGGCCTCATGAGCCCTACAACGCAGTCGCTAGACGCGCTCTGTTCCAGCGTACTTCACAGCATAGCCGACTTCCAGATGGCACTGTACAGCATCTCAGCCTCACCTGCCAGGTACAGTACAGTACAGGCAGTACAGGTTGCAAATCTTTGTATTGTAGATATGGTCCAATCCTGTTGGCACAATGGTGCTCATATGTGCTCATTTTCTTCAGCCTCTGATGTAATGAGTTTAGGATCTTCATGAGAAAGACGGGACTGCAACAACCTGCGTTCATGCGCTTGCTGAAAGCCAAAAGACACACGCTGTGAAGGTATATTGTGCGTGCAAGAAGTGGGGCTTGCAGGGCTGTAAGACACTGGCTGGTATTCGTCTGCACCTGCGCAAATTCTGTAAAGAAAGGGAAGCAAAGGCAGCATGCCGCAGCAGCATACCAGCGTTACGTCATGCTCCAAGTCCAATGAAACATTGAGAGTCACTGACAGTCACTGACCAAAACATGGGACCCAAGGATATGGCTCGACAAGAGCACTTCAACCAACGCTTTGTGCGAACTTGCCCAGCCAAGTCCAGAAGGTGGCAAGACCTTTCTCAGAAGAGAAAGGCATGGCACGGCCGCAAGGCTGCATGATGCATGATGCTAATGATGAAAGCGTGGATTGAACAAACACCTTTCATGCGGCCTCCCGAACAAAAGCAGCATGCTCCGCAATGAGTGCCTCTACAGAAATCCATATGATTGTGGAACTTGTGGCGCACAATTCTTACACGAACCTCCTTGGACTGCAAGTACCTCTGCAAGTCTTCAAGCCTCGCAGTTAATTACTGCCATTGCCAGTTCGAAAGCAGGTTGGCTCATGCTATGGAAATCTTATTCTCAGATGCAAACTCTAGCTGGAGTCTCATCTCCTCCCGTTTGAGAGGTTCCCACTCCTCAAACAAGTCGTATGGATTGATTTCATTGATTTGGCTGTCCCGTCATGTCTACTCATATGTTTTCAATGCATGTCAGTGCATTTCAGTGCCCTGAGAAAGGCCTCCCAGGCATCATCACGCGTGGGTGCTTGACTTGGAAGGCTCTTGTCTCTTGTAACCTGAAAGAGAAAGGAGGTTGAGATGTTCAGAGATTTCAAAGTGCGGCTTAATGTGTGCGTCGAGTTACAGTTGGAACAGTACGCAGTTGTGAAAAATCCCGTCGCGGAGGGAGTGGTTCGTCACCTGCACAAGATTCAATGCACGCCACCTGTTTAGCCAATGAATGTAACACGCATAAAACCAGTAGACCCAATAGACTCAGAAGATTCGAACCTGTGTAGATCCGAGGCTCCTTGGGTGAAACATCACCATCAAGCGTGCCAAAATCTATCCAGATCAAATGTTGGATAATTGAATCTCACAGACTGGGCACATAGTCATCACCGTAAAGTGGAGCGAATGCTCGTGCTCGCTGGCGGTCATGTGCTGAAACCTGGGTCAGGGTTGCACAACCGGTGTGGAACATACAGCACACGCCTGTAAATTTGTTTTTCAAAGAATGAAGAAGTTGGTAAAAAATTGTTGGGCTGGGGTTTCATTGACACGGTCATACAATCCACTGTGTCGTTTGGAAAATCAAAATGTGTTCGTAGTTTCCTTCCATGGAGGAAATTGGACCCAGGAATGAGGTATGAACACAGTCAACAAGGATATGAAGGCAGGATCTTGCTCTTTACAAAAACAAAAAATTCCCCGGCCCTTTGGCTCACTTACACACAGTAGCAGAATCACATCATTTTCCCGCCCGTGAAGGGAGAAAAGGATAGAAAATAAACAAGCAGAACAGACCAAGCAAAGAGTTGTGGTCGGCCGGAACCAAGAGGCTTGACAGAAGCAGAACACGTCTAAACAACAGGAAAGCATCTTGGCAAATTGGTGGCCCAGGAACATGTTTCCCTAGAAGGAGTCCTCCAGCACATTGTGGCATGTGATATATAAGTTGTTGCGTCAATGGTATTGTTTTTGTCGTCGTCGTGGTCGTCACTGTGGTTGTGGTTGTTGTTATTGTTATTGTTATTCTTATTGTTATTGTGATTGTTGTTGGTGTTGATGATATGTTTGTTGTTGTTTTTGTTGTAGTAGTTGTCGTTGTTCTTGTTCATGATGTTGTTGTTGTTCTTCTTGTTCTTCTTGTTCTTCTTGTTCTTCTTGTTCTTATTGTTCTTATTGTTCTTTTTGTTCTTCTTGTTCTTATTGTTCTTCTTGTTCTTTTTGTTATTCTTGTTCTTCTTGTTATTGTTCTTGTTATTGTTCTTGTTTTTGTTCTTGTTCTTGTTCTTGTTGTTGCTGTTGTTGTTGTCGTGGTCGTTGTCGTTGTTGTTCTTGTTCTTGTTGTTGCTGTTGTTGTTGTCGTGGTCGTTGTCGTTGTTGTTCTTGTTCATCTTCTTCATCTTCTTCATCTTCTTCATCTTCTTCATCTTCTTCATCTTCTTCATCTTCTTCATCTTCTTCATCTTCTTCATCTTCTTCATCTTCTTCATCTTCTTCATCTTCTTCATCTTGTTCATCTTCTTCATCTTGTTCATCTTCTTCATCTTGTTCATCTTGTTCATCTTGTTCATCTTGTTCATCTTGTTCATCTTGTTCATCTTGTTCATCTTGTTCATCTTGTTCGTCTTGTTGTTGTTGTTGTTGCTGTTGTGTACGTACAGAGACATAGTATACATACACAGACACATACATAGACATATACATACATATAGACATATACAGACACACACACATATATATAGATATATATATGCATGTATGTGATCTTTAAATGTGCTAAAATCAGGGTCCCTGAAAAATGGATGATAAATACCGCCAAATCAAGATCAAAGGCGTCCTTTGGTTATCTTCGTTATCAGATTCTGCATTCAACGGAAGACGATGACCAGGAAATCAACCAGAAATAGTTTCCAGGCAGTAGCTGAGGTTTGCCTGGAAACTTTTGCGACGCTGGATGTGAAGCAACAGAAAAGGAGAAGGTAGACACACACAACTGTCCCAAGACAACGGCGTCATCGACCAGGGATAAGAAGGCAAGTATATAGACACATTTTCCAAAACAAACCCGGGGAGGATCGAACCTGATGCCGATGATGACGATGACGATGATGATGATGATGAGGATGATGATGATGATGATGATGATAACAAAGTTGATGACGATGACAATGACGCTGACGCTGACAACGACGATGACGGCTGAAAATGACAATGACGGTGACGATGACAATGACGATGACGATGACAATGGCGAAGACAATGACACTGACAATAACGATGATGATGATGATGATGATGGTGATGATGATGACGATGATGATGATGATGACGATGATGATGATGGTGATGATGATGACGATGATGATGATGATGACGATGATGATGATGGTGATGATGATGACGATGATGATGATGGTGATGATGATGATGATGATGACGACGATGACGATGACGATGACGATGACGATGACGATGATGATGATGATGATGATGATGGTGATGATGATGACGATGATGATGGTGATGATGATGACGATGATGATGATGATGGTGATGATGATGATGACGATGATGATGATGATGATGCTGATGATGGTGGGGTTGGGGGGGGCCTTTCGCGTGAAAAATCACGTGATATCCTTGAGCAGCCCCCGGAATACTTGCTAAAGCAAGAAGACTCCAGCTAGCTGACGCTAGCTTTCGTGATTTGAATGTTAAAATCGAAATCTGTGATAGTGACCAAATGTGAATGAGACATTCTGGATGTTTATGTAAAGTATCGTGCGTTCACTTTGAACATGAACTTAGGGAGACAAAAGCAAAAAAAATAGCACTACAGGCCCAGTCTTCCGTTGATAAGAAACTGAATACAAAAACATTTGAAAGCTACTGAAAAATTGGGCGTGTGGTGCGTCACACTTTCAAATTAAACTTGTTAAAGGCTACCGCTGGTAATATAATTAACCTAGACACTGTGTGGAATCATTCCCTTCAAATTATATAGCTATCATCCTCCTTGGCACCTCGCCTGTCCCTCTAGAGCGCTTTCAGCTTTCCAATGCAAGAGGGATCTTGTCGACTGGTCTTGAATCAAGTCTTGAATTCCTCTCCCTTGTTCAACTTCTGTTCAACTTGTTCTTCTTTTCACATCTTTCCACTGGATGCAACTGATGCAACTTCTGTTCCTCGACTTGGGCTATGGCGGTTCGCCGAGCTGCGACAGCCTCGCCGTCTTTGTCTTTGGGCATCGACATGCGCCACATGTGCGCGCATGTGCTAAAACTAGGGTCCCGGTCTCCCAGTTGCGCTTTTTGTTAGTTTTCAAAGTGTTCCCAGGCAGAACAGTCAAACAGTTGAAAAACAAAACTTTGCTATATAAATGCCCCAACTTCACCAAGACAGCATGAACATCGCTATCTTGTGGGCCCCCACCCAGCAAGCTGAAGCGTGACACTCAAGTCCGTTAGTTGGCAAGTTGAAGCGTGACACTCAAGTCAGTAAGCAAGTTGAAGCGTGACACTCAAGTCAGTAAGCAAGTTGAAGCGTGACACTCAAGTCAGTAAGCAAGTTGAAGCGTGAAACTCAAGTCAGGAAGCAAGTTGAAGCGTGAAACTCAAGTCAGGAAGCCAGTTGAAGCGTAGCAGTCAACTGTGTTAGCAACCATCCCCGAACATTCTTCGTGCCTGTGGATAAAACTAGAGCCCGGCACCTTGGAAACAGGTCCAGGAGGGGGCGGTCCTGCCCACGTCTTGCCTTAGAACACAAGTACAAATGTAGAATGTAGAGTCAAGTGATCTCAAGAGTTTGACAAAAGCCTGCAACCAGACTGAACCACAACTTGAAACACATCTCCTGATTGCCAGGGGCTTTACCATTTAGCTCACGCCGGTCCTGGCAATGACATGACACGGCTTGAAGAACAGGCATAGAGTTGCTTCGGAATTGCATTGGAGTTGCATTGTTTCTGCCAACAATTCATTGTTTGGAAGCTCCGGCCTTCAGCATTTCCTGTTGTGCTTCGTTTGCCCTCTGAACCGCCTCTTCCCGACCTGACACAGTCCGACGCCTTGCCTGCCACGTGCCAGAAAGGGAGCACGAACAAACCGTCTCTAAGATCCTTGCTTGCAACTCCCCGCCATCCTTGCTTGGCTGACACAAGTAAACACCTGAAGCAAGACATAGCAAGACCATGTTTAGCCGTTTTAGCCAATTCGCAACTCGGACTTCATCTGGTGGAGCAGGATAATACAATCAAATTTAAAACAACATCCATGGTCTATCATGATCTGACAGCAGAAAGGAGCGACGTAGGTCAGCCCAAATAAACAATGCCAAACATTGTTTGGCATGAAAGTGCGGAACAGGTCAAGGCATATTACCCTAAAACGGAAACTGAATTCCCGGCAAACCCATTCAAGGTTCGAAACTACAAGAGGTACCACCAACAAAGTACGAGTGACTACGCGCATTGATGTTCCATATCCCCTTGAACTCCTGGTGCATGGTTCATGAAAGTAACAGGAGGATTTCCTGATACAAGTTATGACAGTTATGGCAAGTGGAGCGTTGCAGTTCTTAGCCAGGATAGACGGCCGCGCAGTTGATAAGATTGCGGAACACGTTAACAGCACTGACCCGTGAGACTCACCGGTTGTATTGGATTTCACGGGCCTACGCAATATGCCCTGTCCCTACCAAACAGCAGAGGGCGTTTCAATGACAAACACTCAATAGAACACAAGAACCGATCAGACTTCCCAAAATGAAACTAAAACCTGTTTCAAACCAAGGAACAATAAATATGAACGACGGACGATTTTGGGAGAAGAATTTGAATCAAATATGAAGTGAACAAGTAATCCTATCCTATTGCAACCAGATTGAAAGCCAAACTAAGCTGGCTCACCCAAGTTTGTGCAGAAGGCCATTTCTGCAAAGTATATCACCAGAGTTTATTCGCACTGGTCGCCTCAGAGTCAATGACGTCAATATCCGGGAAGCAACTAGTCACTAGTCTATGCTGTGCATATGCTGATTGAGTTTCACTGAGGCCAAAACATCGAACCAACAAGTTTGACACTCACCTTTCCGCCACTGGGCCTTGTTGGCATGCCCATTTCGAAGTGTTCACATTTTTTTGCATCGAATACATATATTTCCTCATGTTGGTGAATTTTGTGCAGTTTCAGACTATGCATGTTCACAAACGGAAAAAAAATGCGGTCCAATGTAGTTGTTGTTCCTCTGCTTCTCGGAACCCGGCAAAAACACCAATTTCTGAGATTGTAAGCTCTCCTGAAATTGTTGAATTCAAAGTCACAGTGTGAATGAAAAAAACAATATTAAAATATTTTATCACAATATGTCAACTAACAAATCACTGTTGTCACGGGTTCCATTGTTCGTCTCTATGACATTCAGAGCTCCAGAGGTGTTCCAAGCATTCGAAGGGCAGAAAGGGGCCACCTGTCAAACACCTCAGAACAGTTTATCTGAAGCCATCTGACCTCTGTCTTGAGGACTCAAACTGTTTTGCATCCGTCCACAACCCAGTTCGTCACGGCATGATGGGCAATAGTTTCTGCAACCTGCAACAGCTAAGCAACATAGTTGAAATCAAAATGGATAAAATTCAAAACACAACATAAATGTAAGGTTGGCAAACCATGCAACTAGATTTAAGTTTGGCAAAATAGAAAACATGATTACTGTATATAATATTGATTCATTAATCATGATCACAGGTCCTTTGTTTTCGCCTCTGGCATCTTGCAGAACAAGTCCACTGTTGTTTTTTTCGCCTGCATATTTTGATGTGTGAAATTCGTCAAATTTCCATGCATCATTTTTGCAAATAAACAAAATGTGCCAAATCAAATCTGTACATGTGTCATTTTTTACCAAGCAATATGTTGCAATAAAATGGCACGTTGCAATATTGCAATGTCCGGGTTTCCGGGATGCAACTTCACCATGCCTCTGCAGCCTTTTTGATCGCATTGTTGGTTGGAGCGAGCAAAGTTAGTTGCCGTCCACCATAGCCACCTTGACTGCAAAACATGACAATTTTGTTTGGGTGTATGCCTACGGAACCAAACGATACTTCATGCAACCAAAAATTTTGGCCTGCCATCCTCTCCCGAAGTTCGTGGCACTTCGTTCCACGCCTGCATGTGAAAAGGTTGAAAATTCGTACCTAGTCAGATATTGTGCCAAAAAAAATCCCACGCCTTGCACTTTCGATGATGGAAACAACGTGCGAAAAATCTTCATCCTGCAGGAACCATATCCTCCCATATTTGTTCGCTGTTTATTTCCGTCCATTTTTTTCCCCAATTTAAGCCGCACCTGCTTCAATTCATCTAGCAAATTTCGAGAAACCTCAAAACGACACATAAAATTTCAATCGACCCTAAATCACGGCTAGCCAATATCAACTGAGGCCGCTTGCGGACATCAATCAATCAATCAATCAAAAGATGCACCATACATGTTTGGCACTGCGTTCGTATGCAGCAGTGGCACAGACTTTATAAGGGATATCACAGTTGTTAGTTTCCCCATTATTTAGGATAAATTTGTTTGCCTTGTTTTCCGGACGGCTTTAAGCGTGAAGAAACCCACACATGTTTCAGTTGATTGCATTTCATTTTGATGCACCCAACGTTCATAACAATTTTTAACTGCATGGTGCGCCATAGTGACATGAGCCCAACAGCAACACATGCATAGTTAATTCCAACAAGTTGATTCCAAGATGTTATCAAGCACCGTGCGTGGACCTGATGCAGCAGGACGGGTTATTTCCAGATAGACAAGTCAAAAATTCATACACAAGGAAAAAACACAGATGTTAATATATATATATATATAGATTCAAGTTCCGCAAAAGATTTAAAAAATAACGGTTTGCAAATAAACATGGTTTACGTATATACATGTGCAATAAAAAACATGAAAATTGTCAAAAATCAAATCCCTCAAAAACAAACGTGAAAAATATCCCGGCGGATCTGAAAGCGCGCGAGCGTTTCACGACGTTGCAACTTGAGACATGCAGACTTCACTGCAATTTCCAATTGAATTTTTCTCTGATCCAAAAGCGTATCAGAATATATACTTCTCGAATTGTGCGTCTTGCGCATGAGTTGACAACTGCGTGACTCTGACATGTCATGTTGCTATGAAACATGTGTGCAGCAAGGGTAAATATGTTTCACCCCGCATTTGTGCCATCATTTGATGTGCACAACCAAAATTCAAACTGAAAGTTCCTATAGTGTCGATTGGCCGTTGCCGCTGGGGACTTCATTGAGTTGCCACTACTTGCAATACCCTTTTTAGGGCTGGCCTCTCGATTCACCTTTGAAACACTCTAATTTCCTCAAGGTAAATGTTCTGGTCCATTGGGCTTACTCAGATCCAAATTACCCTGAGGCTCACCCGTCACAGCTTTCCCAGGGCTCTGCTGGCCATGGAAAAACAAAGCTTCAAGTGCATTGGAAGCATCAGTCTTCCATTGCGTTTTCTTCTTCTTCTTCTGAATTTTCTCTGTGGTGAAGGACTGCCCATAGATCTGGGTCGGAGACTTCTGATTGCGTGGACTGCAAATACCTGCTTGCCCGCCTGATCGCATGGATGACAGGTTTCAGAGTTGTGACAGTGCTGCATACAGACAGCTGAGCTGCACGTGGAATCTTGTTGCGTCAGGGAGTTGGAAGAGTCAGACATCTCTCATGCAGATTTTTTGGCTTCAGGACCACATCAATGGAGGTCACATGCGTTTGGCAGCAATTGCAGGATCCCTGAACCCGGCAGATTCCGGGACCAAAAGACTTCCTTGTGGGAGACTCAAATCTCTCATGGCTTTGCTTGGAATGTTCAATACAACTGCAGCAGCATTGGAAGGATCAGAAGATCCTGGTGGCATTTTTCAAAAGAAACATCACGTTTTGCAGATCTTGAGCGTCTTGGGCTTGACATCTTTGATTTCACTGAAGGGTTGCTGTGAGGATACTGCTTCAAATCCTTCACAGATGCTCGTGATTTTTACGTTGATCTTTGGATTTGCATGTCTTGTTTTCTTACGTTTGTTTGCGAACATGCCTCAAGTTCCAGCTGCACAAGAAAGAACCAGATGCAGAGCCAGTTGTCATGAATGACAATCTAGGTGTTGACACAACAGCAACGGCTGATACAACCATACATGAGACTGCAGGTGCTGATGAAACAACAAGGTTTGATACAGCCACCCAGAACCAACAGCTGACAACTGTGTTGCTTGGTTGATTGGACGCTGCAGCAGGCGCCGTGACAGTACAACTGATCATGACAGGCGCAGACGCTACGAAGAGCGTGTGGCCATTCTACGTTGTTTGCAATCAGCTTTGCATTCCCCTGTGGAATCTCTACGTGGTGCCACTTTGAGGACACTTGGACATATGAGTGACATATCAGATGATGAGGATTCACCAAATTACAGAAGCATCAATACTCCAACCATTCTGGCACAGGCTCAAAGAGCTTACAGCTTTGTACGGGCGTTGCAGCAACATGGAGCATTATGAGCATCCAGTGCAGGACTGAGTACCAACGTGGATATGGTTGCGAGAGCGCTTGGACGTGGAGAGCAACACCCGCCAGATCAAACTCAGAGGAGGAAACTGGATCTCAGGTGGAACGAAGAATGCTGTCAAAGGCCCCTGAAGGTCAACGCGTCATCTGCGCACATTGAAAGCGAGTCATCTGCGCACATTGCAAACGAGTCATCCGCGCACAGAGAAACCGCGTCATCCGCGCACAAAGAGCGGTCATCCGCGCACATTGATGCTGGGAACCAGCCATTTCGGGTTGGGGCGGGGGGGTGGGGTGGGGTTGGGGGGGGTGGGATGGGGTGGGGTGGGGTGGGATATACGTTCATGTTCCTATGCACACACAGGCACAGCAACCTCATCATCTTTCTTGCTGTTGAGAAGAGACAGGCACAGCTCTTTCATGATCAGTTCCCGGTGGGGTGGGGTGAGTTAATAAGGTTCATGTTCCTATGCCTGCACACGCACAGCAACCTCATCATCTTTCTTGCTGTAGAGCACTTACACGCACTGCTCTTTCATGATCAGTTACCCTTGGGGGGGGGTGGGGGGTGGGGGGGGTGGGGTGGGGTGGGGTGGGATGATAACGTTCATGTTCCTATGCACACACAGGCACAGCAACCTCATCATCTTTCTTCCCGTAGAGCAGAGACAGGCACAGCTCTTTCATGATCAGTTACCGGTGGGGTGGGGTGAGTTAATAAGGTTCATGTTCCTATGCCTGCACACGCACAGCAACCTCATCATCTTTCTTGCTGTAGAGCACTTACACGCACTGCTCTTTCATGATCAGTTACCCTTGGGGTGGGGTGGGGTGGGGTGGGGTGGGATGATAACGTTCATGTTCCTATGCACACACAGGCACAGCAACCTCATCATCTTTCTTCCCGTAGAGCAGAGACAGGCACAGCTCTTTCATGATCAGTTACCGGTGGGGTGGGGTGAGTTAATTAGGTTCATGTTCACCAAATGCCACACGAAAGCAGCTCTTGAGTGAGTTGAGTTGTGTGAGATGAGTTGTGAGAGATGAGTTGTGTCAGATAAGTTGTGTGACTTATGAGATGAGAGGAGTTGTGTGAAATGAGTTGTGTTAGTTGTGAGATGAGCGGAAATACGTGAGATGAGTTGTGTGAGTTGTGAGATGAGTGGAGTAGTGTGAGATGAGTTGTGTGAGTTGTGAGATGAGTTGTGTGAAAGAACTTGGGTGAAGTTCAGTGAGAGAACACGAAGCAGCTCCACCAAATGCCACACGAAAGCGGCTCTTGAGAGAGTTGAGTTGTGTGAGATGAGTTGAGTGAGATGAGTTGTGTGAGATGAGTTGTGTGACTTGTGAGATGAGAGGAGTTGTGTGAGATGAAATGTGTGCATTGTGTGAGACAACTTGAGTGAAGTTGAGAGAGAAAGAAGCAACTCAGGAGGAGAAGGAGGAGAAGGCAAGGAATACAAACCTAAAAACAAAAGCCCCACACAGAGATGTGAGGAAAAAACCATAACTTGATGAGTTGTGTGATGATGTTTTAAAAAAAGCTAGAAGAAGAATCATGTTACAGAGATACAATGACAAAAACACACAACAAAAACGTGCACAGACGACCAACCGTCTGACGTGCACAGACGACCCACTTTTGACGTGCACAGACGAACCCCGAACCCACCTGAAGAACAAGAATACACCTCGGCTTCACCAGATGAAAGTGACACCACAAGCTTTTGTGTTCTGGATGAACTGTAAAGTAAGCAGCAACCCCAAAAAATCGTTGCACCTGACACAGACCCACGTGTCGACTTGTCGCAAGCCCAGTCTGAATCTGTGTAGACCTCAACCAAGGTTTCCATAGCGGATACGCTCGGGTACTTGTGAAAGATGCCTGCTGCATGTCCTTGCCATTTCAGTGACCGACAAACATCTTCATGGCAATCCAGGCATGAAACTACATGCTTCAGGACTGTCATGCTTTTCATCGTGGGCACTGTAAGTAGCAAGGTGTCTGACCACATGCTGACAGTGAGGAAGATCTGCGCGAAGGTACAGCAACACACCAACGCAAGTCCTAAAAACTTTCGCATCAGCTGGTGCCAATTCACCTGAAACATCCTGTTGATCCATATCCGCATGGCCTGGGGTCTTTTTACCTTGAAGTCTTTTGTTCAATCCCAAGAGGTTGCACATCTGTTGAACATGCTTGTGGTACAATTCGATGGTAAGACGTCCATCGGGCAACAAGGTCATTTTTCTCTTAAGGAAATGAACTTCATCACCAGGTTTTTCCATCAGCTGCGTGGCTATTTCATATTTTGACTTCAAGCAACCAACTCACTTCTCCATGACAAAATCACGACGTCCAACAACCAAGATGTCGTCAACGTGGATCAGCAAGAAGCAACTGTTGCCACGTGTTTTCAACATGCAAGGGTATGGTGTGTGAGGTGTCATACTCAACTGATCACGCAAGAGCTGAGTGATATCTTTGTGCCACAAAAGGCTGCCGTCTCTCTGTCCGGGGAGCACCCTACCAAGGCCATAACTGACCACAGTTCCATCGGCCATCTGACAGTTGACAATGGTGGGTGTTTTCTGTTGCACTGTAAGGAAAGCATCTTTCACATCAATGCTCAACATGACTGTTTGCTTATGTTCCCTGCGCTCAAGAAAAACTGTAGGAAGCAAAGTTGAAACTATGGCACTGCTTGCTGGAGAAAAAAATGAATCACACCATCCATCCATGCAAATTCTCGGGCCACAAATCGTGACCTGCCTAGCCACACTGGTTGGCCCTCGCCATTCAGTTTTTCACGCCAGGTACGCACAATCCAGGTTGAAAGGATCTTTGCATCTGCTGGCATAGCACTGGCATCTGTGAGATTTGTTTTATTTGTTTTTTGTTTTTTTTGACCAGCGCCCTGTGCCTTTCG